CAATTCAGAGCCAGGGGGAAGTGATGGTGAAAGGCCTCCACCACCGCTGCGCATTAGCCATGTCCACATCAATTACATCTGCCAGAAGGGCTTTCTTGTGTCCCTGCTGCCCATGCCCCACCCCTCAGATCACTTGCCCAGCAGCGATGGCTGCTTCATCATCCACCTGCCCTTTGGGTCCTGTGTTGCTGCCTCATACTGCCTGCTCCCTGTTCACTGCCTGTATTGTATGGTTTCAATGGCAGCAGCTCTGGAGGGCAGTGGTAGGCTCTTTTCATTATCCCTGAGCTGGTGGTTTTGGTCACCTGGCCCCCTTCATGGCTCTGCTGAAACAGCCAGGGGACAGTTATACCAGGGCTGATGGATGGAGTCACAGCAGTGCGGTCTCATGGCTGTGTGGGCAGAGCCATGAATGGACTAGTTGGCCAAAACTGCCAGCCCAAGGATGATGCAGAAAGCCTACCACCAGCCTCCAGAGCTCTGCCATTGAAACCATACAATACACACACACTGTCATCTGCCTTGCCTCACTTCATGACAGCGGCACTGCCATGCCACATAGCCTCCTGCCCCATTGCAGCCGCAAGCAACCAGATGGTGGGATAGAGTGGGCACATGGCCGCGCGCTGCATCTGGTGGGCCTGGGGGTAGCAGCACTCCCACTCACCTGCGCTGCATGGGCTTTACAGTCCTAGGGTGTGCCGGCCAAGGGCTATGGTTACTGCCAGACCCCTTTGGCCCCCACGTGCTCACTGCCTCCTGTACATGGAAAAATAAGACATCTCCCCAACTAAGCCCTAATGGGTCTTTTGGACCAAAAATAAATATAAGATCCAGTCTTATTTTTGGGAAAACAAGGTAGCTAAAATAGAATATATTAACAGGCTGATGAAAATCTACATTTTTGTACATTAAAACTATTAAAATCTGTAATGGATGGGTCTATGGGCTGAAGAAACTGTCAAAAGCTGGACATATTTAATGGTCGTGGTATTTGGGGTTTGGGGTTTTGTTAAGAAAAAGAATTCTAAGATAATATGATTGGGAAAAGGACATCTGGCTGGTCAGGTTCCTGAATAGGAACATTCTAGACTACAAAATTTTCTTACAGGAACTATTTGATAATAGTAAATTCCTATTCATATTGTCCTGTTTGTTATAAATAATGGTTGAAGATAATAAAGTTCTGCAAATATAGGTACTTGATTATTTTATTGGCATCAAAGCAATGATAAAATATAAAGAGCTTTGGTACACTGTGAATTGAAGCAATCTTATCAAATAGAACCAATGTTTTAGCTGACTGTCAGTTATACAAAGCTGCCTTTGACTATGTTACATGGTAACCAAGTTGAAATTATTTGATACAATCACACATTTTACAATTCTAGGAATTGAGAGACAAGATACATGTTCTTCCTCTCCCCATTTGATCCTCACAAAGGGAAGGCTTGGACTCTGTTCCAGTTCTCTGGTTAGGTTTGCATAACATCCTTATCTAGATTAATTTTGATCAATGTTCAGGAAACTGCATTAAAGCATAATTTTAAAAGTATAACTACCGTGCTTAGACTTAGGCTGCTGCCTCATTTTCACTGCCACAACACAATATTTTGTTAGTGCTCAGGTAACAGATAAACTCATATTTGAGAGCAGGAGATTCACGTAGTAGTTATTTATTCTTCCTGAATATTGATGCAGCAAGGGTAAAATGTAATTATTATGAATATCCCTATATATTACAACTACACTATAGTAGCACTTGAGAATTGCTTCTATCTCTCCAAATCCACTTACACTTGACTAATAAAATGTTAGAAAGCCTATTCTACAGAAATACAGAGGGAGGGGGGAATGTGCCTGGCCTTGAAATTGTTTTCCTTAACCTAGGAAAATTAGGAGTGAGGCATGCAAGCTGAAATACCTCTTTCAGATTCAGCACACCATTTGATTAATCTCCCTTTATTTTATTTTTTTTGTTTTTTCCAAACTATAACTGAAGTTGCAGTCTAACAAATCTGGAAGGCACCGAGATAGAACTATCTCCCACATATCTTTCCGAGCCCATGTTGTTCTTTAGACATTACAGAATATCTGCTTCAGAAAAATAATCAAAAACAGGATTGGGTACAAGAAGTTGGTCTCCTTTTGGGGGTTTTTAAACAATCATTTCAAATTATGAGGGAGAGGGAATTGCATTGTATTATATATATCTTTTCTATTTTGAATACACACTTTTTCTTCTAGTAGTGTCTCATGCACACTCTAAAGTTTTACCTGTAGTTTTCTATTAGCAAATTCTTATATACCTTGTAGAGGTAGTAACTGCTGTTTGCATCTCAACTAATATTTTTTTTAAGTCTTTTGTTTCCTCTTTTTAATCTCATGGCAAGTACTGTACAAACATCACTTCTAAAAGTTAGGAGTTGGAGTGATATCCAAGATATAAAAGGACCAGTAAATTTACGTTCAAGCTTACATTCACTCAAATCTAATGTAAGTTTTATTAAAAAAAATAATAATCTGTTTTCAGTGTATGGCCTAGCACTATTAGCAGTACTCTTCAAAACAGGTAAGACTTTATTTGGAAATGTATATTCTTTTAAGCCATGGGCAATGTAGATGATAGATCAATTGTGTTCATTCCAATAGAAGTTTAAATCAATAAATCATGAGGCATCCATTGCATAAATTAAAAATCTTTCTAAAAGACTCTTGAGTTTTCTGTGCATTAGTTTAGTGCATTAGGACAATTAGCATAGCACCTTCAAACTCACAGAGAGCTATGCCTGTTTTTATAAATGAAACAGTTAATAATGTTTAAATGTTCAGCAGAGAATGAAAGTACGAAGCGAGCAAGCAAGATTCATATATATATATATAATTTTAAAATATTAAATACTGAAAATCTCAGTGACTCCAGTTGGGTTAACTCCCAAGAAAATATGATCAGATTACAGCTAGGTTTATATGAATATAGGTATATAAATATTAACTAATAATGCATTTTGCTTTGTTTTTTACTTGAACTTTCTGAAATTGAACAAAATAAAAACAAGTATATTAAGTAATATGTCAAAGCTATCAGACAAAATTTATTTGAATTATTAATTTAATTCAGAAAAATTGAATCAAATCTGAACATTAATGCAGTCCAGATATTCAAAATAAATTGTTAACTAATACAGTTTTTTGGGGGGGTGGGATTTTCAATTTTATATAGAAGCATCACAATGATCAGAAAAGAATCAGAAGCATTCAATTTGATGTTTCACTTTGACTTTTCAATTTAATTCAGATAGTCAATTCAGAGATTCAACCATGTCATCATAAATTTGACTGCCCACATTTTTTTTACTTAACCCTATACTTAAATAAATCTAGATGGCATGTAACCTTTGCCCACTGCTTCTGAGCAAGAAATCTTCACTGGGTTTCAACATGAGTTTTCTCCATAAAGTTGTTTTCTCCAGAAAGATATATTAGTCAGAAGTGCTATTTCCTAGCACCTGGATATTGCTTGATGTCTTTACTTCATTGGTCTTTTTCATTAACATATCTTCTTGGAATTTTTTTTTTAATTATCATTTTTCTGCTTAAGCAATGGGTTTGCTGACTGAGCAGGGGATTGGGCTTGAAGACCTCCAAGGTCCCTTCCAATTCTGTTGGTGTTATTCTAATGAATTGGAATCACTTTAATTACTACCACCACCACACCTGACTTGATTCACTGTGGGTAGCTACAAAGGAGACCCATTATAGAGTAAACTAATGTCAACACCTCCAAGTGCATATATACTCCAAGCATATAAACACCAATATGTGTCTCATAGTGACTCATACCACGATCACCTACAATTGGACTATTGAAATATACCATACAGGGGGTTGCCCTTAAAGATTACTTGGAAGCAACAGCTGGTTCAAAATGTAGCAGTGCAACAGTGACAGATGCAGTTTGATACACGCATATGTCATCAATTCTCTAACAACTTCATTGGTTGCCAGTTTGCTTCCAGATGCAGTTCAAGATGCTGGTTATCAGCTATGAAGCCCTTCATGGCATAGAGCCTATAGGGCTACCTGTCTCCAGTGGTTTCTGCCTTGAGTCCCTTCTATTAAACAAGGGTACCTGGTGGGGCCCCAAAAGCAAATCATTTTTTTCACAACATCTGAAATAACATCCCTCAGAAATTCAGATGGCTCCCACAAGGCTTTAAGAATATAGCTGTGTTTTACTTGTTTGTTACACTCCTAGTACATTTTTAAAGGGAATGTTATTTATTCCAAATGCACATGTTCTTCTCTCCCCAGACACGTGAGAGTCACAGAACATCCCAAATTTAGTTTTAAAAAAAGCCCTGTAATGAGGGATAGGAAAGGAAGATACAATAAAATCCTTCAAATGCCTGAATAGCTGTAAGACAAACAAGGAAAGATGCAATTCTATATCACCCCATAGAAAGTGTTTAATTTGATTGATTTGATGATAATAGGATGATCAGTTTTAGCTCAAAGTGAAAGAAAATTTTTCATAATGAAAGCAGTTTGACAAAAAAAAAAAGTCAGCTACATCGTGTTATAAATTCTCTCGTTGAAGATTTCCTTCAGATGCAATTCAGGAACAGCTATTTGTTGAAGAACCTACCATTCTGAATTTCCTGGGCTAAACTGGACTTGGATAAGATAGTCTACAAAACCCTTTCCTATTAGTCAATATTTTCCTCCTGTCTGGGAAGAAGTTAAATCACAAAGCACTTCCACTGGGAATTTCAATCACTCAAAGAAAGAAAAGTGTATGATAATATGAATACTGAAATAACTTCTAGAACAGTGGTTCTCAACCTGTGGGTCAGGACCCCATTTGGGGTCGAATGACCATTTCACGGGGGTCGCCAAACAAGGCTGTCCGCCATTTTTTTCCCTTTTCCCTAGCTGTCCTACTCCCTCTTATTGGTGGCCACACCCACTTGGGGGTCACCACAACATGGGGAACTGTATTATGGGGTCACGGCATTAGAAAGGTTGAGAACCACTGTTCTAGAAACATTCTCGATAACTTACATGTTTATTTCTATGAAAGATACCTGCAGATTGTAGCTATTAATATAAATATGCTATCTGACTAATCAAGTTATTGTTGGATGGGATCTCACTGAGAAACAAAAAGAGATACTGGCATATAGTATCTCTAGAAACTGAAAGTGAAATCAGAAAATCAAGGCAGATCTCACTTTTCTGATTTCACTCTCAGTGCCCTGCATGCCAGTATCTCTTTTTGTTTCTCACTGAGATCCCATCCAACAGTAACTTGTTTGTCTTCCTTCGTCTTCAAATACAGATGTTTTTTGCTTTTGCATTTGATCGTTCCAAAGAATTGGGAAATTTAGATATTATAGTTACAAACCCCAACATTGTTTAAATAAAAAAACAAACCCATATGTTTATACAATCAAAATTTCTTTTCAGTTCCTTCAGTTGTGGATAAAACAGACAGGTGATTAATCTGTGAAGGGATGTTTATAATACATTCCTCACCTTTTCCAGAGCTAAACCATGGTGGGGAAGAGAGAACAGACTTGCTAAAACATTTAATAATTCATTTCACTTAAGTGTTTACAGCCTTTTTGCAAAAGTGCAGCATTGAGATGACTCCAATGCTTTTCAGTAAAGTATCGAAGTCCAGGTTCTCATTTCAAAAGGAAAACAGAAAGACAAATGGATAGTACTTATTAAGCAGCCGTCACTGAAACCAAAATTTTACTCGGGAAAGTCTGCAAGAGCAAGTTTTTTTAAAATATATATTCCTAAAGAAATTTGGAAGAAAACTACCAGCTCTCTCATGGTCATTTTTCTAATGTAAAATATGAAAGCTGTGGGAAAGACAGTTCAAAATCAGTTGATGTTCCAAGGTACCAGCAGCCATAGGATGCCAACTTTTAATTTCTATCAGTCACATGGAAACTAATGTTAAACAACAACATGAATACTCTGGATACTGAGAAGATATTCCGCTACTGCATCTTCCTGGAATCTCCTGTTGAGACAGCTGACTTAAAACATTGCAAGCATCTCCTGATTTCATCAAAATATAGCCACAAAATCAGGTAATCTGTCAAACATTATGTTATTGCTTGGAAAGTTGGGATTTTTCCCCCAAAAGAAGGATTTCCTAAGTAAAAAGTTTAAATATATTCGATCCTAGGGTCTTTATGAAGAAACATCATGGATCTCTCATCCATCTCTAGTGTTGCTCCACTAGAGTAATTCAGTCATTCCCATCACTTCAAAACTTCATCGATAATTCCAATAGAGATGCTCAGAAGCACCACAGTTCTAACAGAGTTGTAGTCTAAAATGACGTCTGTTGATAGAGGAGATCTATTTAGAGAATTGTTTTAAAATATGCATTGATATTTAACAGAAAGGCAGTATCTTCATCAGCAATTCTTGCATCTAATTGCAATTATAAGAAAAATGCCAAAAACGGCCACAAGGTGGCTCAGGGAAAGAAATCTGTATTTTTCTGGTAAAGGATGGAATTTTATTTTTATTTCTGCATGTTATATATACAGCTGCTGCATTCTAGAATATATATGTTACAGTCTTTCTCAAATTTACAGAATTATTTCTGGATTTTATGAATTTTTCACACACTTTGGCATGGGTGGAGATATACAGTGGTGATCTCGAGAAAAAAACAAGCATTCCCAAGATTCAGGCAGCTGTGCAATACATATTTATCTGGAAATAAACCCAGCTCAAAAAAACCTTGACTTTTCCCTTAAATAAATATAATTAGGTATGTGTTGTTGTTGGATCTTCTACTATTAAGAGATTGTTATGCTTGTTTTATAGCATTGTTTCTGAAAGGGTGGCAGCAGGCTGGTTGGTGGTCTGGTTAATAGCTTACACTACATAATTCTAAATGCATTTTGAGGTGGAGAGTATGTGATTGTCTTCCATTTCTAGAGAGCCCATAAAGGAATGATCAGCGTTTTCCCCAGGGAAATGTTTTTGAGAAGAAATCAGCTTAGTTCTACTCAAAAGGGCTCTTAGCACATATTCTTACTATATATCACTGTGGAACACCTATAAAGAGTTATGCCTTTCTGCCTAGGAGAAGAGTAGCTGAAGAATTTTACTAGCAATAGGAAAATAATTTTTTGTGTGTGCAGTAGTTGTGGTGGTGGTAGAAAATGCATGACTAATACACATTGTTTTCACTCATATCAAGAGCCTAAGAAGCAGTCAACAAGATGAAAGAAATCCAGATGTGCTTGTGTGTCACCTTTCTATTTGCATTTGGAATAGTTTATGAACTGTCTCAAGAACCAGTTTGCTTCTTTTTCTGCAATCCAATTTCCAAACATTTCCTGAGGCCCAAAGATGTCATGACCCAGGGCAGAAGTATCATCTTCCTGGAAACAACGGATCATCTGCAATCTTCCCCACTTGTTTTATGTTCTGTGGAATCTGCTGCCAGAGTTTATCCAGACAGGCCCATCATTTTCTTTATGAAAGGACTGGACAACAACACATTGCCAGATATAAAATCTTCTTACCCCTCACTTTACTTCTTATCAACTATGAAGAATGTTTTCCTTTTCCCTCTTCAGGAGGACATTTTATTCCAGGACACGCCTCTATTGTCATGGTATCTTCAGGTAAGATGGCTCTGAATAGCCAGAGAAAAGGGCAACATTAATTCCAGCTGACCTGTTCTGTTGATTCTGTTATTACTTTTTCATTTATCTGAAGAAACATTCTCCTTTGGGAGTTGTGTTTGACTCCAGTCCCATTCACTCAATATTCAAGGATCTTCCTTAGATTTTCAACTGTCACATGGTTTTACTACTTATGGAGTCTTGATTGTATTCCACATCTTTAATTCTTTATATTCTATATTATACATTTTGCTAGCAATCTTAAGTATTTACCAGAAGAGAAAATGGAAAAAAAATATAGATCAAATAAAAAAATCAATTTGGATATGGCAAAAAGAATATTACACACAATGTACTATATGACATGCTACAGGAAACTTTCTGTTTTCTTTTCTTTAACATTAAGTGTACCTTGTCCTCATAGTGCAGTGGGATTATTCAGTAAGACTCTAGTCTAGCTTATCCACAGCACTTCCAGGAATGATTATGAGACTGCTTCTAAAAAAAAAAAAGTCAATCTTGATTCAGAATACTTTCCCAAACATAAAAGTTAGATGGAAAGGATTTTACTTGATCTTCACTGCTCTCTTGAAGAGTAAAGAAATAAAGTTAAGAGGTTGCCTGAACTCTGCAAAATTAATACAACATATCAGGAAATAACCACATTGGCTCTCTACCCTTTGAAAAATTATTCTCTAAGAACAAAGGCCATCACCAGGTCAGGCTATTAATCTATACAGCAGCAGCTCTGCAGATTTTTAGGAAGGAGGGTTAAGCATGATCTAATTTCTGACTCATTTAAAAGGAGATAACAATTGCATTTGAGATATTCTACATGTGCTTGGAAAAAGCTATCCACACTAAGGATGAATTTTTTTTTTTTAATATTATGTTATACCTTGGTAGTGACATTAAAAGAGCAATATGAACATTTTTCCTGAAGTCTTTGAACTTTTGCTTAACGTATTTTTATTTGGGCACAGTTTTCACCCTATGTAAAATATTGCCTTTAAGACTTGCATTCTGAACAAGTTGTAGCAGTATTTATGTACTGATCACAATACGTTTTGTTACTTAAAGCTTTCCGAGTATATTAAAAAAATGCAGAAATTATCAGTATAACTTATATTAGTGAATCCATTGGGAAATAAATATATTTTTAAAAGCCTACTTTGGTTAGCACAAATACACACACACATGTATATGTGGGAGTGTACACAAACACATCACAGACACATCATGCAATATCTTGATTAAGTCAGAATCTCAGGGATAAAGCTTACATATACAATTTAGCATATCACATCCAGAACTTGAATCTATAACATCTTAGTTAAGTTGTACTATACGGATATGATTTCTTCACTGGAAATACAAGAAATATTGCTTTAGCTTAGCTAGTTGTTATTTCTTGCTTATATATCAATTTTGAATTTTTTCAGGTCAATACAACAAAGGAGAAATATTGGACCTATATTATTTCTGATGCAATCAGACTCGCAGTAATGTGGAAATATGGAGGAATTTATATGGACACTGATGTTATTTCCATCAAACCTATCCCAGCAGTTAATTTTTTGGCAGCTCAGTCTTCCCAGTTCTCCAGCAATGGGGTCTTTGGTTTTCAGCATCATCATTGGTTCATCTGGGATTGCATGAATGATTTTGTTCATAATTACAATGGAGACATCTGGGGAAATCAGGGACCTTACTTATTTACAAGAATACTAAAGAAGCAATGCAATCTTAGAAATTTTGAGAATGTGGAAGACCACATATGCTACAATATTTCCTTTTTGCACCCTCAACGTTTCTATCCCATTCCTTTTAAAACATGGGAAAAGTACTATGAAGTATGGATCACAAAGCCAGAGTTCAATCATTCCTATGCTTTGCACTTATGGAACTTCATGAACCAGAAAAAGAAAAAGAATATGACCATTGGAAGCCACACACTTGTGGAAAACTTGTTCAGAACATATTGTCCGAGTACATATAGATTCGAGCTACACAAGACACAGTTGCCCCAAAATAAAACTAATTAAGGTTGTAATCCGGTTGCTTTTGTAATAGTTCTCCAAGAACCTTGGGAATCCCTTCCTTTCTTTTTATTCCAGTCTCTGATGCTGAATATTTGAAAGGCCAGGAAATCAAGACCTCCAAAAACCATAAGAAAGCAAGAATAGTATATGCACAGTGCTGGAAAAATGAGAATATACCATCAGGGGAAGAAGTGATAAGAAAAATCCTGGATTGTGCTGAGATGGACAAATTAACAAAAGAGATAAAAGAAAAGGAAGACACAGAGTATTATATAACATGGAACAAGTGGTATGACTGGTTGGAGACTAGAAATAATAGAGGAGAATAAATATGGAAAGGTCAAAAGTGAAAATATGTGTATAATAATGTATAATAATAATAATATGAATTATTCTTAGTAAGAAGTAGAATATGAAGGAAGAAAAATGTAAATAAGAAACAACGGGGCAATAAGGACAAATATTCTAAAGAAGAATAAGGGGGGAAATGTAAATAATAGAAGATTACCGTTACGTAATCGCTGTTAAAAAGAGGGGGGGGGAGTATATACTTTGTGTGTATGTGTGTTATGTTTTGCTTTGTTTTGTTTTGTTGGTTAAAAATAAAATAAAAAATAAATAAATAAAAAGAAAACAGTAAATTCTGGGTGGGAGGAGACAGAAAGAATCAAAGCAAGTTAAGGCTCCCTTCCCTTCCCCTCCCCCCCCCATCCATCATGCTACTGACACTCAGTGGGGGTTTTGACCAGCCACTCGTCTGCTCAGAAATATAAAACAGGAGTGAAACTTTTCTCTTCTCTACCAAACAGGAAGACTCTAATCCTACCTTGAGTTTTTTCTATAATTCCAGCATATCACAACTATGGTTTGAAACTCAGCAATCCTTCAAATATTAATTTAGCAATCTTCAAAGATAATATTTAACACTTTCAGAAACAGGGACTGAATGAGTAATATACATAGAACCTCTGTCTGCGCCCAGGAAATATACAACTTTTTTTTAGGCTTTTCCAAAGGTAAATCTTTTCGCCATTTTCATTTCACACTAGAAAACTAAAGTCTGTGTTGTAGTGATGGCAGACCCCAATGCTATATGGGAAGCAGTCACATGCAATAGCCATAGCCTAAATTTGCTAAGAACAGAGGTTTGTTATTTTTAAAACAAAATAAAACTAATACTTTTAAATGTATGTTATTGATATTTTATTGTTAAGCAAATATTTTTATGGGAGCTTGTGTTTGAATAGGGATGATAAGTTGCAAATCAGAGATGAGATGATAACCTTTTATCATAGTTTCTAGTACCTCTGTAAAACTACTCATGACTTCGAGGTAGCAATGAGGACACAATATGGGGACTCCTTAAAGATTGATTTGTGCTTGGAGCACCAACTATGAATTTACATGTAATTTATTTCTATTCCTCTTAACAGCAACCTATGAAATGTTTCTTTTATCAATTGTCCTTGATGAAAGTTTATGAAATTATCATTACTGATAAGATGTTATCTCTGGCTATGAAAAAAATAATTTCATATTTACTATTGCTTTTAGCTGAAAACAGTAACAATAAAGAAATTTAGAAGCTAGTAACTTGTGATAGCTTCATATCAAATGAATATATGTTTAACATTAAGGAAAAAGAGCAGGAATGGAATATATATTATCCACAGCAGGTTTATTTTTATCTGTAACCTCAATACTTTCTCCAATAGGGCACTTAAACACTGTTGAAACATGCTCTTTCACATGGAACTATTCTAGTTGGCACTTAATAGAGCACTACATTCCTAATAGCAAATCTGCTGCACCAAGTCTCTCCATGAACAAGATCATACTTACTAGGAAGAATATCCCATATGGTCTCCTTTGCAATTTGTTCAGCCAGTTTCCCATTTCAAGTAAAACTATGCAATATACACATGCACACATCTCTCTTGGAACCAAGCTCACTGGCTTAGCTGGTGGGTCTTCTCTGTTCAGAAACATGAACTGGTTGCTCTCCACTCTTTCATGTTCTTCTTGCATCTTCTGAAGTTTATATGTGTTTTCATTTATAATAAATTATGCTGAAAACTATTTTTAATGTTTGGCAAAATAAGCTTAAATTCTCAGGCACTATGTAATAATCTTTGTAAGGCAAACCCAAACCCAATAATTAGCAAAGTGATCCTACAACAGTCTCCTCTGATGCAGAGCTAGCAAAGAAAAGGGAAATAAGGGAGAAAGAATGAGAAAAATGTCAGTAGACATTTTCTGACTTTATTCACCTATGTTTGCCGGCAACTTTATAACTGGCCAGTACTGCAGTTGTGATAATATCAGAAATGTTGCTGTGCAATGGGGGCTTTAAAAAGTTGTAAATACAGCACCGATAGTTTTGGAATGTAACATTTTGGTAGCAATAAATAATGAAATGAATAGATGAACTGAATGAATGTAACGATAATGTGAAATGAAACTAGCTTTTTTAAAAAAAAATCATTTGCTGTATAAGGATGTCATTTATAATTATTGAAGTACACATCACTAAAGTATACAAGATTTTCTCAGTGTTGTGTATACTGTGTTATGGATACATTTCTTATTCATTTTTCAGTGACCAGTTGAATGCCTCAAGATGTAACAAATTTGTCTAAAGGTGTGATTTTATTCTTACTAACCAGGGACTAATCCTAATGTATTACTCCAAATAGACACGTATAGAAACAAACTAAAGTATAGATTCATTGTCAATTGGTTCCAGGAGGTCTGATGAGTACCCAAAATAATGACTACTAGGCAAATTTTTCCCATAAGGAATAATACAGTGAGTCAAAAGACACTGACAAATTCTAGTCTGTGTGTTGAATACAAAACAAACAATGAGAACTGGGACAAAACTTTTGTGTCAAAATGCATTAAGTACCAAATTCGATGACTTTCAAATTAATTGAGTACCAAAGTGCCACTTTATTAATGTATGTAGAAATGTTAACTTTGGACATGCATTAAGATTGCTTAATGATAAAACTAAGTAAAATCCAAAGAATCTACTGCAATGTTTCTCAATCTTGGAAACTTTTAGCTATGTGGATTTCAAGTCCAAGAATTCCCCAGCCAGCATTTCTGAAGTTGAAATCCACACACCAAGATTGAGAAACACTAATCCAGTGTTTCTCAACCTTGACAATTTTAAGGCATGTGGACTTCAATTCCCAGAATTCTGGGAGTTGAAGTCCACATGCCTTAAAATTGTCAAGATTGAGAAACACTGCGACTAATCTAATACAATTTAATAATGGCCTCTTCTGAGAACAAGGATGGAGGTAGACGATTATATTTCTGCTTCAGGTTTAGAAAAATAAATCACAAGTTTATTTTAAGAGAAATAAAAGAATGAATTTCAGGAACGAGATACATGCTAATGTATGGATAGATGTGAATTAGACTTGGTTTCGATTCAATTACAGAATGTTATCACACTTTAATAGGAAAAAGTCTCAAGCTGATCTATGAGCCCTCAATTGTACACTGACGAAGCCTGAGTTTATTCTGTGGCTGGGCCTGATGATGAAACCGCTTCCCGGTTAATATAAGCTTAGCCCCCCACACTGTAGGAAGAGGTTTTCTGTATTCTCTACTTTGTGTTTGTATTTTAAGACCTATGTGACATAAAAAGGTCAGCATTTGTCTTTTCTGGAACCTGACCAGAATTGTTTGATATGTTCTATACCCAGAAAGGGACTTCTTCCTTCTTTCACTATTTAGTTAAGCAAACTTTAAAAATGCAAAAAGAAAGGAACTTTCCAGCTTTCTCTCATCAATGCCTGATAATTTTGGAAGGCTTCACTTATTCTCTGAGGTTTATTAAGTGATGCCTCGTTTTCCATCCTCTTGAAATGTAGACCCCCTGGGTTGCTACTTCGGCTTTCTTTGGAGACCCCAATCACAAATTAAGGGATCTCTTTCCCCCATTCAGGGGCATTTTGACCGTTTAGCGCTGCACACACGGATACAACTGAAGCTCTCAGCAGAAAGCAGCCCCAACCTTTGGCCTTGTGTCCTCTCTGCTGGTGGTGATGAGACACCAAACCAGAAACGGAGAGACAGCTTTGTTATTCAACAAGCGAAGCCTTTAACAGACCCCCGAGGACCAATATTTTAGTAAACTGTGATTGCCCGATCCTCCCTCGTTGTACACTGTGGATAGATTACAGCCGGAATGAAGCTTAAACAAGCAAGAGAAAGCAATCAGGTGCCGTGTTTTCATAAATTACTACAGCAACAGCTTGGCTTGGGGGACGGTTTACCAGCTGTTTCCAGCCCTCCTGGGAGAAGCTCCGGAGGCGCAGTAGAGCCTCGGAATTGCTTTCAGGCTTCACCTCTGACGTTGCAAATTTCGGGCCGAGAAAGTGATTCGTTGCTGTGGGGAACCGGCGATGGGATCTTTGCCTGGGTGGTGTTGAATTTCCTGGGTGGGAGGGGAGAGACGGAGGATTTCAACGCCGAGTTTTGTCTCCAACCCGCGCTGTTCGCATCGGCCTTTTTAAGCGCGAGTGCAGGCACACAATCACAATCACCATACATACAGTTCTGCTTCACAAAATATGCTTCCTGCGGGCAGGTAAGGATTTGCTTTGTTGGAAATATAGTCCTGTGCTTTAATACCAAAAAAAGCTGGAGACGGGAGAAGGGGAGGGAGAGGAGGGAGAGGAGGAGGAGGTGGGACTACGCCTTGCTCACTCTTCCCATGTTTGCATCGCTTTCTCGGTTAACCATTGCCAGCTTTGTTAATGGCTGAGCGAGTCTAGCATATCTGAATAATAATATTGTGGCTACTGAACAGGGAACGAAATGATCTCCCTCTGCGATCCGTTTTCCCCAGCCCAACTTTTTCTTCGAAAGCCGTTTCCTTTGCAACCTCCTTAGGCCCGAAGAATGCGAGGCCCCTGGACAATACGTGGCTTATAAACGGGAGAGGGGTGAAGGGAAACCGAGGCGGTGCGTCAGATACGGTTTAAGTAACAAAGCGGCTGTCCGAATTCTCGAAGGGCGCTCCTTGCCCAGTCTGAAGCCGCGTGTGGGAGGCTGCTGGCCTCGAGAAGTTCCATGACTTGGAACAAGATGTTTGATCGGTCAATCGGGGCCCGTTGCCTGTTTGTAGCTGTTGAGGCTTTAGCATTTCTGAAGGTCTCGAAATTGGCTCGCGTTTCCAGTTGCAAAGGAAAGGCTGATCATAAATTGGTTCTTTTTTTATGAGGACAAGAGATCCCGTAGAGTTGGACAGATTGTAGCCTGCATTCAGAGAGGGAAATGGACAGATCTAAGCATCTTGTGAGCTAAATACTTAACCCTCGTGGGTTGTATACTAGAATTCTTTCAGGTTGACCTGAGTCAGGTCAAAACAGAGGGATCAGAACATGCTTATTATTTTCACATCCAAAGGCACACTTTTAGTAGCACCTACCACACTGTTCCTGTCCTGTTTTCTGCCAAAAAATAATGAAAGCTGGAATTTTATCATGTTTTCATTGTGCTGAGAATCCTGTCAGTTTAAACCTGAAAAATTAATTCCTTTCCAAACCAGGTAGAATTGGCATCAGCCAGTGTGATCAAAAGGAGCATTAGGATTGCAGGGTTCTCTAATGAAAATGTCAACTGAAAGCCTGGGAAAGGTAGAGCTTTCCATAGGTTTGATTCAGATGTGCTTCAGACCTGTAAGAGCATAGATAGTTTAAAAACGGCATTAACTTCAATGAGGAAGCCTGAATAAAGAGACAACCTTTTAATGAGTAGTGTATTAATCAGAATAAAGCTGGAAGGTACCTTGGAGGTCTTCTAGTACAACCTCCTGCTCAAGCAGGAGAACCTATAACCATTTCAGATAAGTGACAGTCCAGTCTTTCATTAAAAACCTCCAGAAGCACCCACAACTTCTCACAGCAAACTGTTCCACAATTTTCCTTACTGTTAGGATAGGAAGTTTCTCCTTCATTCCAGGTTGCTTCTCTCCTTGATTAGTTTCCATCCTCGTATGATGTCCCAAGCAACTCTGAATTGTTTTCAAAGCCTGCCTAGCCCTTGCACGTATGTTTCACCTTTTTGGGTGAATATTTGAGCTATGTAGGACTTTAGGTTCAATTTCCAAAGGGAAGTACACAGGGAAGTACGCTCCTGGGAGTACACAGGAGTGAGTCTTAACACCTATCTACATCAGAAGTTACATGGAGAGAGATTTTTCCACGGACTGGAGGGGATGTAGTTTTGTGTGCTGCCTACACCCTGTAGATGGAGCTTTGTTTTATGTGAACCGGTTGCTGGCATGCTGCAGCCCAGTACTGGTCCACAGACTGGGGGTTGGGGACCCCTGATCTACATCATTTCAAAAGTTGTGCTTTCTTTTTGGTTGCACAAGTTTTGTGGAAACTTGGAAAGACTCCGTGCTGGTCTAAAGTGTTGCTACATTTGTGTCCCTCTTCCCCCTTTTTCAGTTTTGCTAATTGAGGTGCATAGCTCTTACACCTCTGAATTGTATTGGAAAGGAATCCTCGTAAACAGCATAGCACTTAATGAATGAAAAATGTTAATTGCATATAATGTGCTCTGAATAGCTCTCTTTCATTTAATAAAGATGAGAGCTTTGTGTTGATCACAAGGAGAGATTCGCACAAGATGGTCCACTGTTTTTCAACTTTGACAACTTTAAGATGTGTGGAATTCAGTTCCCCAAATTCCCATCCAGGATGGGTGGATGTGGAATTCTGGAAGTTGAAGTTCACTCATTTTCCCATTTTAAAGTTGCTACAATTGAGAAACACTGGGATTGTCATTCTTAAATGAAAGGAGAGGTAACAGTTGTTTTGGACATATCCATCAATTAATAAAGACCATCTTATTTGTCTCTTGAGAAACCTATATGCGGGTCAAAAAGCAACAGTGAGAACTGGACACAGAACCACTGATTGGTTCAAAATTGGGAAAGGAGTCTGGCAAGGCTGTATTCTGTCGCCATGCCTATTTAAATTATATGCAGAACACATCGTGAGAAAGGCAGGACTAGATGAATCAAAAGTTGGAAATAAGATTTCTGGGAGAAATATCAACAACCTAAGATATGCAAATGATACTACTCTAATGGCAGAAAGTGAAGAGGAACTAAAGAGCCTCTTGATGCGGGTAAAGGAGAGTGCAAAAGTTGTCTTGAAACTCAACATTAAGAAAACCAAGATCATGGCATCTGGCCTTCTCAATTCCTGACAAATAGATGGGGAAGAAATGGAGGTAGTGACAGATTTTATCTTCCTGGACTCCAAAATCACCACAGATGGGGACTGCAGCCAAGAAATTAAAAGACGCTTGCTCCTAGGGAGGAAAGCTATGGCAAATCTAGACAGCATACTAAAAAGCAGAGACATCATCCTGCCAACAAAAGTACGTATAGTCAAGGCCATGGTTTTCCCAGTTGCAATGTATGGCTGTGAAAGTTGGACCATAAGAAAGGCTGAACGCCAAAGAATTGAGGCCTTTGAACTATGGTGCTGGAGAAGACTCCTACGAGTCCCCAGGACTGCAAGGCAATCAAACTGTTCAGTCCTAGAGAAGATCAACCTTGACTTCTCTTTAGAAGGCCAGATCCTGAAGTTGAAACTCAAATACTTTGGCTACCTAATGAGAAGGAAGGACTCACTGGAGAACAGCCTAATGCTGGGAAAGATTGAGAGCAATAGAAGAACGGGACAACAGAGAATGAGGTGGCTGGATGGAATCACTGAAGCAGTAAGCATGAGCTTATATGGACTCCAGAAGATGGTAGAGGACAGGAGGCCTGGAGGAATGTCCATGAGGTCGCAATGGGTCGGACACGACTTTGCAACTAACAACAGCAACAATCAATCAATCAATAAATGATTCAACATTATTTTAGCCCCCTGAACTCATTTACTGTGAGATGGGTGGCAAATAAATTCAATAAATAAATACATAAATAAATTTCTGATGGGATTGCTTCAGGGCAAGGCTGGTTGTTGTTCAGCTCTTGTAGGAAATCCATGTCCCCTACATTGAAATCAGATTTTATAGGTTAATCACACAAAGTGGGCATGACCCAAAACCATGTTTCTTGCTTAGAATTACTATTTCTAAAACTTAATTAACATATGCAGGCTTTGTAATGGTCATACATGGTTTTGCCAGAAATTCAAATTGTTTGCTTCCAGCCCCAAAAACCACTATTTCCCCCATCCCAAAGATGGGATTTCAGATGACCATTAGGTGACCTGAATGATATAAATCAATTGCCTAAAATACAACCTCCAATAAGTGGATGCCATTCATTCCTACAAGAAAAGAAAAGTAGCATAGCTATCACTATAGCTATGCTCAAGTCTCATTAGTGAAAGTGTACAGACTCAATCACAGTTTTGTTTGCATCAACCTTGTGAACTCTCAAGTTTCCTCTTGAAAAATGAATTCAAAATGGACAGTGATTAATATTTATATGTTAATGTGTATACGTGTGTTATATATGTCTATAGGTAGATATATACTTTTTTTTGAGAGCAGGCAACAGAATTTCATTTTTAATGGGGGCCAGTGTGCTCACAGTAAAAAATGACAATAAGGGCTATCTTTTACCATTGAGAGAACATTCCACTGGACCAGAGTATATTTGTACTGCTTTTGGCAGAACGTTGGAGTCTTGTTACCATTACACAAGACACACCTGGTAACGCACTGTTGCTCAACACAACTGTCCCATTGCAGATGAGTAAGAGAACCAAGTTGATTATAACAGCTATTCTGTGTTGAAATCATGGTATGTATCTTTTTGCAAGCAGTTTCTCCCTCTTTTGCCTGAATCCTAGAGAAAACATTTTGAGTATTGCAAAAATGATTTCTCTGTTAGCATTAGGAGAAATATATCCTATGATTTCAATCCTGTATAGACTTATATGTACACTACTTCCGTTGAATTTATGGAGGGAAATAGTTTTAATTGTGCTGTGAAAGATAGTGTAATATTTACAAACAATTTTGCATGCCCTTGTTTAAATTATTTTCAGATTTTATGGAGTGTTTTTAATAATATGCTAATAATATCTCAAACTTTACTGAATAATAAACATTACTTGAAATTATTTAGGTTTTCATAAGCAGACCTCAATGTATCTAGCTTCATCCTTGGCCAATTATATACAGAACAATATATAAACATATACTTTTTATATGAAAATGATAATATCTTAAAAATAGTGAAAACCCATCATTTTATTCTATGGTAAACAGAAAACTCAATATATTACTAAGGCTAAATTATGTTTATGTTCTAAAAAGCTATTACTCTCACATAATATATTAAGGTAACATGTTCTCTGTAATGTAAACTTTTCATATAATATTAAGTAGTTACTGTTTCCGACTTGGGCAGTATCTTTGAAATATTCCCTTCTAAGTCACATACTCAGTTCTGAAGTGTTTATGTGCCTATGTGGTCAATACAGCTGCTTTTTGGTTATTACTGAAATTTTCATTATCAAGCTTATGGGTCTGCAAATACATGTCTTAGATTGATTTTTCACTATAGGGAGTTCAGTAGCACTTTTATTTTCTATCTGTAGTTACAATATGTACACTTTTGGAGCCCTTTGTCTGAGAAAGCTATGTATAAATTCTGAATAATATCTGTATGCCTTTCAGCATATAGATATTGTATGTTTTTTCAGTCTGAAATCTGAAACATTTCTATTGATAACTCGTGTTATATTTGAATTGTTAGTGAATTAATTAGAAAATGAATTATGTAATAATTAAGTGAATTAAGTCACATATTTATCTTACTCTTATATTAATTGAGTTACAGTTGACTTTTGAGTATATATTTGTGCTATGATGTAATTTAACATGCAAATGCTAATAGACTTGTTGTTTGAATATTAGTATGGAATAAAAGTAAAAATAAGCCAATTTTGTAATGTCCAGTTCAGTATACACATTTCAAGTACAGGTAGTCCTTAATGGTAATCAATTTCCATTGCTGATTGATGCAGTCATAAAGTGTGACTGTGCTTCTTAGCAAGGCGCAGTTCTGGTAGTCACGTGACTGTGCCTATTATCAATGGCAGTTCTGGCAGTACCCAGTTATTATCATTAAGTGAGGATTTCAAATGACCATGACTTTAACTTTCCTGCCAACTTCTTTGACTTTGCTTGTGGAAGCTGGTAAGAAAGGCATAACTCGTGTTCACATGACTGTCGCATGCTAAGATGAAATCTGAGCCAGTTGATAAGTGCCCAGATCGTAATCATATGAGTGGTCATTAAACAAGAACTACATATCTTCAAGTAAATATGTTACTGTTACTTTCTTTCCGTTCTGATTCACTTGTATCTTCTTGTTTTTCCTAGCCTTTTGTATCTAATATTTATTACCCATTTCCGCTGCCTACATCTCGACATTATTGGATAGATATGCCAGGTTCCACGTTTCCTGTGAACTTCCAGCGCACCTGTGATTTTTCGGGCAACATGCTAGCCAACCCTTCTGTAATCCCAGCCTTTAAATTCCAGCTGCGGCGAGAAACCATTGACTGGAGGCGATTCAGTGCCATTGATGTGGAACGGGTAACTCGTGAGCTGGATATTGGCACTCTTCAGGAAAATATCAATGGTGTCACCTTTTGTAACCTTGATGCGGAAAAGTGCCCCTATTGTCAGCAGCCAGTAGACCCTGTTCTCCTTAAGGTTCTGAAGATGGCCCAACTGACCATCGAATATTTGTTGCACTCTCAGGAGTTCTTAAGTATGAACTTGGCACTCCAAGAGGAGCAGCACCAGGCAGTCCTTGAAGACTGCAAGCGTATCAAGTATGACCTGGATAAGCAAGCAGAAGAATTAAAGGGGGTGAAGGAAGAGAGCAGGAGACGGAAAAAAATGATTGCCACCCAACAGCTGCTCTTGCAAGCTGGGGCCAACAACTACCACAAGGTGAGGTGTAGGTACAGCAACTACATGAGAAATTTATTCAGTCTGTATTTTAACAGAAAATGTGCCTAATTTTTCAGAGATGCACTGAAATTTGGCAATTTCTCTTAAGTTCTCAATTCTTCCAATGGAGGAAAAAAAGCCATAGAAAAATGCATACATCATTGAAAATGCACTTCATTATGAGGAACCACAGAGGTTGGTTCTTTCCTCTATTCTATTTAACCTCTTATTTCTGAATAAGTACCAACTTTGCTTCTGAGTGGAATAATGCTGTCTGCCTGTCTGATCAAAGCAACAGAGTATCTGCTGAAAGTCCTCACTGTTGTGTGGTACAATCATATCAGAAAGAGTCATGAAGCAAACATTCTTTGTGGAATTCCCTCTTTTGGAACAACTTTGCCCTAGAAATTAGGGAACCCCCTATTGCCTTCTGAATGTCACAGAACAGAACAACCTTATGAAGTACCCAAATGTGGCAATTATGTGTATACAATTTTCTTTGCAACCATACAGAAAAGGTTTGCCATTATCTTCTTCCCAGTTGATGCTGAAATTCCTTATCATAGTTAGTTTCCCTAATACCCACAGAGCTTGTTCTAATCTTATCCTTCATGTGGATTGGTTCTTAGTTTTCTGCTCTCATTTCAATCTAACTTTTTTAGCATATCCCAGTACATTTATTTAAACTTTCAGAAGTTCACAGATGTAAATAAAGTCACATTTAGGCCCATTTAGCACCCTGTTTTCACAGTTAAGATTGTGTTGAATAGCACATGCTTCTGACCATTATTATGCAGTGGTGTAAGAGTGCAGTCTTTGAATACATAGAACAATATTACAATTTGAGCAGTTATTGATAGAAAAAATATATTTAAAATTCTTTTTAAAGGACCTATAAAAGATAAAATTGATTAAAATCCCTAATAACCGTTTATTAGAGATTGACATTTGAAAAATACGAACTGTCCTAAATAATAATGACATCTGAAACAAATGCAATTGCATTATTCCAGGAAATATAAAAAAAAAAAACTTTGTTTTTCTTCCACTGCTTCAAAGATTGGGAATATCAGTTTGGATAAAAAGCTTCAAATTACCCTATTAATCCAAGATTCAGAGCTATTTCAAGTGTATAGCAAATATGATCCTAGGTTATGGTTGGAGTTGAACTAAAAACCGGTAGTCCTTGACCTACAACCACAATTGGGCCCAAAATTTATGTCACTAAGCAAGACATTTGTTAAATGAGTTTTACACCATTTTATGACCTTTCTTGCTATAGTTGTTAAGTGAATCACTGCAGTTGTTAAGTTAGTAGCACAGTTTTTGACTGAATTTCACTTCTCCATTGATTTTGCTTGTCATAAAGTCACAAATGGTGATCATGTGACCCCCAGGACACTGCAACCGTCATAAATATGAACCAGTTGCTGAGCATCTGAATTTTGCCCATGTGACCTTGAGGATGCTGCAACTGTCATAAGTGTGAAAAATGGTCATAAGCCATTTTTTTCAGTATTGTTGTAACTTTGAATGGTCACTAAATGAATAGTTGTAAATCAAGGATTACCTGTATTCTTGTCCCATATGTGTTTTATAGCACTAGGAAAGATAAATAAATGGAGTAGAGAGTGAGTACTTGGAGAAATTTTTCTACCATCGGATCACATGCTTAAATCTGTTTTTAGATGATTTTTCTGTTGTTTCTTAGTGCCAGCTCTGTGACAAGACTTTCATGAATTATTCCTTTCTACAAGGCCACATGGAGCGTAGGCATCCTGAGGCCACTGCACTGGGTAAGCACTAAGTTTGCCTGAATCTTTCTCCTATGGAGGGAATTCCAAAGGTTTAGGGTTGGGGGGGGGAGAGGGAGGAGGGAGGGAGGGAGAGAGAGAGAGAGAGAGAGAGGGAAAGAGAGAGAGAGGTTTGTTTATATCCACTTTCAGAATACAGAGAGGAGATACATTGTGTAAAGCTAAATTAAGGTAGATTTGAATGTAACAAAGCATTTGCAATGAATCTGATACTGCCATAATGCCCAAACCACTGTGCATCTATCTTTACATAAAGGTAAAATGGACCTGATGTGGCCCTGAGTAGGAAATATTTGTAAACTTTTTGAATCACTATATTCTCATCACAATTTTTATTTGTAATTTAAAATGTAAATTAAAGTTTGGAAATTTAGACTGTTGTTTGCAGCGTCTTGTCAAATTTTGGAGACTTACGTTTAAGTTGGTCCCTTCCAACTGTGTTATTCTATTCTATTCTATTCTATTCTATTATTATTTGCCATGAATATTTTTTTTATTTTTTTTTATTTCAGTGGCTATATACTTAACTTCTTTTGTCTTGAAATAGAAGATACCAATTCATTTTTGAAAAAATGAACCTGGTTCAAAATTACAATTTATCTTTGCTTTCTCTGCATTGTGAATTACCTATTATCTATTAATATCTATTATCTATTATCTCTTATTACCAATTTGTATTCCGCCTTTATTATTTTTATAAATAACTCAAGGTGGCGAACATACCCAACAAACCTTTCTCCTCCTATTTTTCCCACAACAGCAACCATATGAGGTAGTTGGACTGAAAAAGCATGACTGGCTCAAGGTCACCCAGCTGGCTGTCATGGCTAAGGTGGAATTAGAACTCGTGGTGTCCTGCTTTCTAGCTTGGTGCCCTAACCACTAACCAAACTGGCTAAAAGTTTGCAACCTTTGTTACAGAATGCATCTCCATTCTTGAGAAATAATTTAGCATAAAAATCTAGTAAAAAGTTGAATTCCTATTTTAGTTTCTATATACAGCTTCAGTTTTTAGTTGTGGCCATCTCTAACATTGCCTCTTTTTGAATCGACTCAAAGAGAAGTCGAAAAAGAAACAGGTGCAGCAAATGGAAAGTGAGATTGAAGAACTGAAGGTCAAGTTGAAGGAGACCCATGTCCAGCTAGAGGCTGAGAGTCAGCAAAGGGTTCAGGTATGAATTGGTAAGAATATGAATAAAAAGGAAAGCAAAAGTCAAATGCATTTTGTCAAGGTGAAAACTAATTATATGTAGACAAAATGGAAATAATTCACACTCTGTCAAAAATGTCAGCTATGATACAGCTACAGGCCAATCTTCTCTGGGCCCAGAAGCTAAATAGGCTCATTCTTAATTAGTATTTTAATAGAAGTCCTCTGAGGAATATTAGGACTGTAGATTAAATTGGTAAAATGCATCTCCATTCTTCAATAATAATTTAGAAAAATTAAAAAAAATAGCAGCAGAAGGCTTCTGTATTACTGGCCATCAATTACTTAGACGCATCCATAAATTTACCAGGAATTGAGCTCAACTTGAAGGGGATGTCCTTTCTTCTACAGTGGTGGGTCCAGTTTATTTTCACAGGTAAAACAAAATCAAACAACTCAGGTATGTTTATTCCTTCAGAATAATCATTACAGAGTATCTGTTTCCTCTCCAGATATTGTTTGAAAACAGTGACTAAATGTGAGGCTTTTCTAGCTATAATGTCCTAGCCTTTTTATTTCAGTGTGTTTGCCTGAACAATACTGATGCAAAGCCTTACATTTTCCTTCATAACTAATACAATCAGAAGCTTATTTTCTAACCATGCAAATTCACCCAGAATCTACCAGTAAGCACATGAAGTTGGATAGTACTTAAGGCAGCAATAAAGAACCTATAATGTAAAAAAAGCAACCCATGAAGAAATAAAAGTAATTTTTATAAAGCAAAGTAATAAAATACTGTTTTATTACTTTATTAATTGAAATTTTAACTGTTGTGTCAGAGAACAATTTTGCTGGATTATCTGCTCTAGTGGGATGGCCAGAATAGTAATGGATCCTTCTCTGTTGATAATGCTATTATAAAGTAAATTTCTCAGCCTGTTGTCATATAGATGTATTTGATTACCAACCCAGAATTCCCAGTCGAAGTTAGAGGACATACTAATCCACAAGCTAAATAAGTATTACTCCCCAAATCAAAACAATTTACCTTATGTGTGGCCAGAACTTGAAAATAACATTTAACGCAGCACAATATTTAAACAAAATGGTTTGGTTGAGATCTGCATACTGTATGTGGGACTGATTGGGGTAGATTGCAAGGGTGACTCCAAGATATAATTTTATCATATTTTATCTATATTTTAAATTACTGTACTCTATTTTAATTTCATTTTAGTCTGTATTTTACTCCAATTTCATTTTAAGTCATATTTTACTCTAGTTCCATGTTAAACTGTATTTTATCAAATTTCATTTTAAATTGATTTTATCAAACTTTAGTAATAATTTGTTGCTGGAACTTTGCACTTTGATATGGCTCAAGGGCTAATCAATAAAGATTTATTATTATTATTGCCTATCTCAAACAAGATCAGAAAACAACTGATCATCGAGATATACTGTAACTCTCAAGGTCATCTGTGACTAAATTACATAATGATAATGCCATCATCTTACTCTCAAATATCTACAAGTAGGTCAAAATAGTAAACAGTTGTTTGTGCAATAACCATAAGTCAGACTTGGCATGATAGTATTAGGCTCTGCAAGACTGAAATGAAATCCCAATAAGTTTAGTGTGACATTGATTGCACTGCAAATGTATGTGATAGTACAAACTGTCTCTGCAAGTTACTGTCATTCAGTTTATCCCTTGCTCTATCAGTGTTTCTCAACCTCAGCCATTTTAAGAATCCTCATTCAGTTTTTTGTTCAGAATATTTGTTTAGTTTGATTGCGTGCTAAAATTTCCGAAAATGTTTCAACTTCCTGAATCTTAGCTTAGCCCCATAACATATCTTCCATTTGGGGATAATTCTTTTCTTATAGGAAGCAGAGCGTCTTCGTCAAAGGGAAGATGAGGAAAGGAGGAAGTTTGAAAGATGGAAGGAAGAGGAGAGAGCAAAGTTTCACACAGAAATGGAAGAGCTGAGGCAACTTTTCCTCACGGAAATCAAGGACTTTTCCAACAAAAATTCTGCCTTGGAAGGAGTAAGGAAAAGATATGGCTTGCAATGTTCCTATTTTCTTGAATACTCAACATGTTTACCATCATTAATTGAGCATGGACACATCTCTATTCTTGAAGTGAAGACGTGAGATGTATTGATAATAAGTATTGCTGCCTAATTTATACATCAAAGGGATAAAGATCTAATTCCTAGAAAAATGTTGGAAAACAGAGCATCATATGATTTACTCCTGAATGCCTTAAACTAAGTTAGTGACTAAGGATGCAGGATGATATCCATCAGCTACTAATCCCAACATTTTTAGTTTAACATAAAATGATGAAAAGGTGCATTCTTGTCCTTTGCTGCAGATAGCAAAATGGATAAGAGCAGACATGGCTAGGAGTAAAAAACAGTTATTCTGACTGAAGGTAGCTTACGCCAAATATTTGAAGCTTTATGAAAACATTACCAATATTACAAGAATAATAGGAGGCCATGCAGCTCCTTGATATGATAGAGATGTTCTAAGCAATAGACATTTGATATCAAAGATTGTGTTTCAGTTTCCTCCATCATTAAATGGAATTCAAGTGCATGCTTTCCTCTATTCTTCCTATCATATGTGGATGGGTTATTGATAGACCCAAGGAAGGATGAGCAGCTTTATTACCTGTGACAAAGAGTAAAGCAACAATAAGAAACCCTATAAACATATTTTTCTCTACTCTAGAGTTCTTCTTATGGCAGACAATAGGTTGTCATATGAGTGATTGTGATAATATTTAGATCAGTATTTTCCCAATCAAGATAAAACCTTGATCAGAGATTTAAAGCAAGATGTAATTGGGAATTCTGACCCTCCTTACATATACTCATACTTCAGTTAGGGTGCTGCATATAAGTATATGTGTTAAATGGAAAATGTTATATGTTATATAGAGAAATATTTTTGATTTTTCTGGCAGCTGCAGACTGTGGCACTTTGTCATAGATCACATATTCCTTCTGCAGAAACTTCAGGAACTACAAGTCAAGAATGCAGTAGCCTCACATCTTGGGACATTGCAAGATGATGATTCTTTTGAGAAACAACAGTGGACTAAGACTCAGAAAGAATTACAAGGGATGAAGGCAAGGATTGAACAACAGGTGGGGGAATCTAAAGGAATATTGCAGCCTTTTCCATCTATTGTCTTTCAGTCATATTGAGACAACAGCTCCAAGAATTCCCAACCAACTCAGCCATGACTATACTGATTCATTCTTCTGGAAATTATAATTTTGATCTATTGTGTAACAATAGATCCACTTACCACTTAAAACTAGTATCTTTTGTTTAGAGTCCTTTGGATTCAATAGTTAATTTGAACTCTATCTGTTGAAGAACATTATCAGAACCATAGTGAACAGACTGTTCTGAACTTATTTATATTGATGTTTCTGAGACAATAATTTTTAATCAGTAAACTTATACAAGCTGCAATTTAAAACCATATGTATGTATACACACATATTACCTATACATACATACACACACATATATACATACAGTGCTTTTTTTCTAAAAAAAAAAAAAAAGGTGCGAGAACTCATACACATCATACAACCCACCTTGCCTACCCTATAAGGTTCCATCCAAAAAAGGTGCCGGAACTCCGTTCTGGGCGTTCTAGGAGAAAAAAAAGCCTGGTATACATATATAGTTACAAAGCAAGATATATCTATTGATGAATCCTGCAAAACTCATCTTTTTAATAATATGATAGGATCATCCCATATTAGTTCTTTTTAATCTGGTATTCTCCAGGTATCTTGATCATGACTTCCAGCATTCCTAACTAATCCTAAATTCCCAAATTATGTATCTAGGAATACTCACCAGGAGAGCATCAGGTTGGGAAATACTTGTATAAACTAAAATGGGTTTACAGATTCCTTGGTGAAACAAGGCATTATGGGAGTGAATACAATTCCCCATTCTTGCTTTATGACAGTTGGCACTCTGAATTATTAGAAAATGTGAAGACCAACATCTTTGCTGAGACTCAAATAATTTGTGATAGATAACTGGCAAGATAACTAAATAAGGCTGGGTACTTTTTACAATATTTATCAGAAAACCGAGTGGGAGTGGAAACTTAAGAAATTTCAGAAGGAGAAGGAGAAGGAGAAAGAAAAAGTGAGTACACTCTAAATTTTTGCAACTTTTTCTGCTAATAGAAAAATGAGTATTCTTTAATTAAGCCAGCCATGCCTATTCATTTAGGGTAGAGGGGGCAGAAGGAACCATCATGGAGAAGAAATTAAATATCTTTGTTATCCATTAGAGACAAGGAGATTAACTGATGATACACCCTCCACCCTGGTATTAAGAGGATTCTAGTAGCCAAAGCAAGACTGAAGGATCTACCTCCCTCTATCTATGTTTGACATAGTATGTGTAGATACTTTAAATATAAATGCTGCATATACATTACACTGCATGTTCATGAAGGAAAGCAAATCTAGAGATACTATCCCATTCCCTCCACACTTGTATCTGAATTGTATTTCAGTGCAATTTTTTTTATGGTATAAGTATAACTAAGCCATAAGATTCAGAATAATGCAGCTCACACCTGAAAACAGGTATCATTTTGCCATAGATAAATAGATAGATAGATGATAGATAGATAGATAGATAGATAGATAGATAGATAGATAGATAGATAGATAGATAGATAGATAAGATTGTATACCTTCATTGTGAAATCAGATTCCAGAGACATTAGACAACCAGCCCATTAAGTTGCAGCCTTCATAATTGCATTTCTAATCTTTTGTCTCTATAAATGAAGTGTTTAATAGAATGGAATAGTCTTTACACCCAAATGTGTTTTTTTTGTTTGTTTGTGTGTCTTAGCTGAAGAATGAGAATGAAAAACTGAAGGCTTCCTTGTCTTCTGACCAATGGAAAATGGCTGAATATAACAAGAAACAACTTGCTTCCCTTACCACACAACTCAGAGAGCAAGCCGGTGTCATCCAATCTCAGGAGAATACAGTAAGCTGAATACAGTTCTTCTGAGAAGTTCAATTTAGAAATGAGCCTGTGTTTGTTTTCAAACCCCAATGCTCCTGTATTCCAGTGTTTCCCAAACTTGACAATTTTAAGGCATGTGGAATTCTGGGAGTTGAAGTCCTCATGCCTTAAAATTGTCAAGTTTGGGAAACACCGCAGTGTATTCTGAGAATCAAACTGTACTGATAGTAGACTCCTATGAGGCAGCATTTTTAGGACTATAACACCATTTCATATTTTATAAGGAAACTGCATGACTTAATGTTCCCTTATTCCAAACACTTAATTAGTTGGGATAAGTGTGATACAGATTTAAAGAGCAAAATGTGATTTGGAGGATGTGTGATGTTGAGAATACCTTAAATGAAATGCATTTTCCCTGGATTATGCATCAGTTGTGGAAATAATCACTTGAAAAAGACATAGCCATTTTAAGGTAATAAATGCAGATGCTACCTGTATACTACATATGCTCCAAATCACACTTTGCCTTGTATCCAATTCATTGTCCAGATAATCTAATTGCTTTGCTGATGAGAAACTTTCACCCTACAATATATATGGCTTACACCAGAACGTAGTTTTGCTTTACTTACTTTACACCCCTAAAGTGACTTGATATATTAGAAACAAATGACTGGTCCTGCACTCAGGCATATAGATTAAAAGGGGAGATGAGGATAACAAATAAATTTTAGGCAATGGCAGAATAAAATGTTGAATTTTAAGGTTATATTAATATCCATTTGGAGTCATATTGATCCTCCCTTCATTGTGTTCTGCCTAAATAATGTTTCATGATTCTTGATCCCTGCATTAAGGGAAAGAGGTCAAAATGAGCTTTCCTTTAATTCTTCATCTAAGTAGTAACTTATACCTAGGAGAGATCAGCAGAGAAAATTCTCTGTAAATGCTCCTTTTCTGGCTGGTGTAAAGTGCCAGGTAAGCATCTCCTCTTGCTATGTCCACTTCCTTCTTGGTACTAGAAAAGACATATGAAACATGTGAAACACATTTTATTTCGAAATGTGAATAGTAACTTTGTGAATTGATTTACATTATTATGTACCAGGCATAGCAGCTAAATACTTATTACGCCTTGTAAATAATAGCTGACTTATTTTATATACTTACATTACCTTTCAGATTAAGCTTCTGACTTCCAGCAAACCCAGAGGTAATGACCAATCCCTATATTGAATAACTGTCCATGGTTACAGTAGATTTTCTTTCTCTTTTGACAAAACTATAGAATGTTATAGCCATGCTTCTTCATCCAGAAGCATACAGTCACATGGCCTATCCAGAAGAGTCAGGGAAAACTCTTATTTTTAAAGAGCCTAGAGCTGGTGTAAATCTGCCAGTCTCAACACTTAAAAAAAAGAAAAGTAGAACAGATTTCTCAGGTATTTCATTAAGTTGGAAACAAATACAACTCCATTCTGCGCCCACTGGTTTTTCTCTCCCAGAGAAAGATTGAGATAGCTAGATTTTTTTCTAGATCATGGATCCTTTATAACTAAAATATTAATAATGCCCAGTAGGATCCATTGCAGAACACTTTTTAATCTGTGGAGTCCTTGGTGCTCTCTGAGCTTGGTTGCTTGATTGTAGATGTTTCATTACCAGACTAGGTAACATCATCAGCACTACTGAGTGTTGGGTTTGTTCTCTGTTTATATACAATAGCTTGCCCTGCCAGTGTTGGTGGGAGTGTCTTTTCTCATTGGTAGTGCCTTGATTTTGGTATTGTTTTCTATATATTTGTTTGTCTGGTGTTAATCTATGCTCACCTGAATATTGGTAGTTTTAGAAGATGTGTTCTGGTCTTTTTGTTTCTTTCTTAGCTTTTTATTGTCTCTTTTGAATGATATGTAAATGTGGTTTATCTTTACATTAGGCAAAATTTAAAGCATTTCTCTGTGTGGAGAGATGTGAATTTCTATATTTAATCATCCTATTGCTACTGTGAGGGAAGAAATCTTAATTTGTTCTACAGGTTTAATAGTCAATACTAACTACTGACTTACTCAAAGTTTTTTTAGCTCCCTTTCCATTTGATCAGTGTGCAAATAATGAAGCTTTTAATGTTGTTGTTATTGTTGCTGTCGTTACGTCTGCTAAGCATTTTACAAAGCTCAAGAAGACTAATCCTTGTGGTGAGGAACATCTATATATTAATGAAACTCTCCTGTTTGTAATCTTAAATTGGGTGAAATGGTGCCTCATAAGCAGTGCTTTTTTCTAAAAAAAAAAAAAAAAGGTGCTAGAACTCACACATACAGCCCACCTTGCCTACCCTACAAGGTTCCATCCCAAAAAGGTGCTGGAACTCTGTTCTGGGCGTTCTATGAGAAAAAAAAGCCCTGCTCATAAGGCAACAATTTTTGAACCAACATACTTCAAATAGGCTAACTTAAAATATGCATCCAAAATCTAGGCCCCATTACTCCCATGGGATTTAAATTTGGCAAAGTTGTGGGTGCTACAGTATTGCAATCACATAATCATAATTTCCATTGCTTCCCATAAGAGAAGTCAGTGGAGAAGCCAGCAGGAAGTCAGAAATCACTCCTGCTCCCATTGTTTTTTTTGCCCACCCATGGTCATTCTGTTTCTCTGTTTAGATAAGGAAATATTTCTGAAATGACCCAGTGGATTGTAGGATGTCTAGTAAATTATGAAATTCCATGTGACAACAAGAGAAGGCAAAAGAAAGAGAGAAACAGAAAAACAATATGCAGATATTTCATTGCCATGCTTAGATTTGCTCAACAACTTATAAAGGGGTATGGTAATGCATTTAAACCTGTACAAAAATCTAAGGTTCGTTTACCTGTTATTCTTTCTTTCTCTTCTCTCTTCACTTTATCCATCCAGATAAGATATATCACATAGTGTAAAATGCTGATTCATGGACTTTACAGGGAGTTCAGGTGATAATACTTTTCATCTGGCCCATTTTTTCCCATCAGTATTCTTAATGGAATAGTTCCATGGTGCTATTTGCTTCAAATTGCTTCCCCTTTCCTTTTAAAAGAGCTGGGCTGGATCCAAACTGGGTTACACTTAGTTCCCATTAAAATAATGGCTAACTTGTCATGTTAATGCCATGAGAATATCAAAGATGTGGTTGTGTTTTGGAATATGAATATAGGCCTTTTTTAAAAAAAGTCTGCTTTTAATTTCCAGAAATCCAACAGGTACCCAAGACAGAAAAGCTGGAAGAATCCAGTGAAGAAGGTATATTTTATAAATGTCACCTGGCATTCTTATATGCTAAATATTTCTATTACTGAGAGAGAGTCTGACTACTCCATGTTATTTTCCGAGATGCTGATAAACTCTTGTAGGTCAGGAAAAGACAGTGGTTAGTCATTTACTTTGGTTTTTAGATTAATGTCATAATTAATTCCAGAGGATGGCAGTGTACAAATTGATAGTTATAGTGTTACAGAGTTCTACTCATGGATTGGGACTATATTAGATCCTGATTAGGACTAAATCAAGCACTACATTAGATCATTATATTTGTATTGGGTTGTCTCTGCTGTCCTGGAATAAATGAAGGAGTTAGGACTATTTTCTTGAATTTTACAGAAATCATCTCCTTCAATGGCAGATTAAATTGAAGTTGGATGAAGATCCCCCCCCCAAAAAAAATGTTTAAGTGGCAGTTTTGGGGTAGGGTATAAATGTTAAACATTCCAGAATGAGAATTTTTAACTATCCTACTCATTGGTTTTGGTAGAACTAGATGATACTTTGGACAGGAAGAATAGAGTTCTGGAAATACTGCGGAAGGATCCCAATTTGTTGAAACAATTCCGGCCAATTCTGGAAGAGACACTTGAAGATAAACTGGAGACCATGGGAGTGAAACGAGTAAGTCCTATGAGAAGAAAATAGCAATAGCACTGAGAGTTATATACCACTTCACAATGCTTTTTAGCCCTCTCTAAGTGGTTTATCGAGTCAGCATATTGTCCTCAACAATCTGGATCCTTATTTTACCAACCTCGGAAGGATAGAAGGATGAGTCAACCTTGAGCCAATAAGAATCAAACTGCCAAACCTCTGGCAACCAGCAGTCAGCAGAACTGGGCTGCAGTACTTCATTCTAACCATTGTACCATCACGGCTCAGTAGTAGAAAGGGAACATTTTTCATTTTTTATCCACTAGACTTACTTTGAATTTCAGTTGGATGCAATTTTGAGGATTGTGATGTATATTAATTTGTCTGGCAAAAAAGTGACATAAAATTATACTCATCTTTGAATACCTGTTCAACACATTCACATGCTTGACAGAAAATTGAAAAGTACTCTAGCATCAGACTCTTCCTCTCCTCCTCTTCCTCCTCTAAAACTTTTTCAGGAAAATGGCTTGCCAAGGAACTGCTTTTTCTTTTGCCTCCAAAAATCATGAAATGTTAATTAAAGAACATTCTTTTAAGATTCATTCTTGACTTCTTTGTCTAAGTATATTGCATCAATCCAGTAAAAGACAAGGAAATGAGACAAATATATTTGGAAGAAACACATTCTTGCTTGACATGTAATCTTGTGCAATGGAGCTATCTCAGGGATTGTGGAAATATAGACAATAGACAATAACTCTATCATGAAACTCTATCATTTCTATTTAACTGCAATATTGAAAAATTTAAAACAAACTTCTGGATTGTCTCACAGTTTTGCTTTCACAACTAGATAGATCTAGTGGTGGGATTCAGCCAGTTCGCACTACTTCAGCAGAAGCGGTAGCTAATTTTTTGTTGCCCAGGCCCAGAATAGACTTCTGGAAGTGGCATCCACACAGAGAACTGGTTTGAATCCCACCACTGGATAGATCTATCAGTAACATGTATCGAAAGCAAATAATGTGTCTTCAAGTCCCCCTCTTTTCTTTTGACTTAACTGCATAGAAAAGCTAGACTGCAGTAAAAATATTAAAACACTTTATGGCTTTAATGGTCTGCTGTCAGTAATTAATTATTTCCCTAGTGCAAAGTAATGTTTCTTTTGAAAGCACTGGTCTTAAATTGCATAGCTATATCTAATGCCCTTTAGAATTAATAGATTGGTTTACATTAACTTAGTTGGCATCCTCTCATAGCTAGTAAAATGATCACCTTCAGATCCTCTTCTTTCTCCCAAATTCTGCACAGGTTACACTATTCCTCAAAACATAATCCTTGTTAATCTTTAGTAATCTTTCCTATACTCAGGGAGCTTCTTCAGTGGTCCTCAATCCATCTGAAATTGGCATATTTTTGGCAGCCAAAACTGCCTGAATCCTATTGACTTTTGCTGGCCATCTTCTTTTTCTCTCTATGAGACTATCCACAACTCTTTTTCTACGAGCCACTTAGTCTATTTCAGTTTCCTTCCTAATCCCACTTTCTGTGTGAAAACTTATCTATTTCATTCCCAGCTATTTTCTCACACTTAGCTTATCGACTCCAGACACAGCTCATCTATCTGGGAGATCAGATGATAATTATGTTCCTTTTGTAATGGATTTAAGATTGGAATACTGAGTTGTACAGCAGTTTATTTCTCATTGTTTTCATCCTTTTTAATTCAGCAGCAACTTTTCAAATGAGGGATACCAAGTTGTCCACCTGAATAGAGCATTCCAGTAATATACATTTAGCCTAACATGAGGAATTCCGTGTTTAATTTGAAGAGGTTGAGATCTCAGGAACTTATTTGCTGCATGAATGATGAGAGCAGGGCTCATGCACACATTTATACTGATTAGAAACATTTGTTCTGTTTTATAGGGTACAAAAGGTATCCCAGCTCAAACCTATAAACATTTGAGAACTTTGATTAAAAAACAGCAGCAGCAGAAGGCTAAAACATTTCCAGGTCTGCTAAACTTGAGAGATAAACTTGAAAAAGAAGTGCAGAAGAAAGTGGTTCAGAAGGATGAAGAGAATATGTCCTTGCTGTTTTCTCCAATCTTAGGTATGATGCTCAGTTATATTATCTAGAAACGCAACATTTATTTGATTTGATTTATATTTTATCATTTCATGTAAAACTAGCACATCTTAAAATGTCTTAAAGACTAACAAATGTAATGCTTAAATGACACTGTGCTCCCTGACTCTAACGTTATATCTTTTGGTTTTACATTTTTTTCAAGATAGGATTAAATTAATCTAAAGACTAATTTGTAAATTCAAGTTTATATATGTACATGAAAGAACCCTGCTTAAAAAAAAATCATGGCTACTTTTACAGCAGATGAACTATATTATCCCATAGGTAGTCTTTGTATAGACTTTAATCACTCAGATTATGACAGCGGCAAAGTTTAGGAGCACAACACATATACTGTATCAGGTAATAAAGTATTCAATACAATCTCCAAGATAAATTACAGTGACTTCATGGATGTGTTTTGTGTGATTTTCTTGACAGGTGTATGGAAGTGGATTCACATTGCCTTCTTCTGTGATGTTTTTGATTTTTGAATCTAGCTTTTAGGCCTGGTATTCCCTCAAATTCTCTTATCCAAATACTAACTAACCTGACCCTGCTTAGTTTACAAGCCCAGTTGCCATATGCTGTCACTTGCCATAAGTATAAACCAAATAGTGTGAATAAAATTGCTAAAAGAAGAATGAGGAAGGGAAATATTCAGGTTCTAATCACACAAGTTCTAGATTGGTGCTATGGAGGACTCCTTTGCACTCCCAAAAAGTTTTTCTCCTTTGAATCTGAACTACTATCCAGGCCTAATAATTAATAAAACATAATAGAAATAAAATTGACACAGAAATAATTGTGAGAGATATAAAAGAACACTTATAATCTTGAGCTATCCTAAATTTTAAGTATATTCAGTAACTTCTGTGCAAAAGGCTATTTATATAAATAGAACTAATTGATAAGAAATTACTTAACTAATATCATTTTATTTTATTTTATTAAATTTGTTTGCCACTTATCTTACCCCAGGGTAAGTCTAGATGGCTTACAGTGTTAAAAAGAATAAAACTGTACAAAACATGTATATAATACAAATAAAATACTCTAAAAGTACCAATTGTACAAAAGTACAAATTATCATAAAGAACTAAATGGGAATAAATCCTTAACTAAAGACTTTTTCAGGGTTCTTGGTAATTGTTTAGCCTATACTGTTTCCCACACTTCTTAATATTGGTAATCCAAGGAAAAACATACTTTAACTCTGATCCATGCATTGGGTAAATATGGTGGTGAAAGCAAAATTTAAAAAAAAAATCCATAGAGTAAATATTCTTCTCCCAATCTTCACGAAAGGCTGCAACCCATCTTTTTAAGCATGACTTTTGTAGCATACAGAAGAATATTTACTATTCTGTGTGCTATTAAAATCATGCTTAAAAAGATGGGTTGTAGCCTTTCATGAAGATTGGGAGATAAACATTTAAATTCATTTAATCCAAGACATTTTTCTGCAACAGGGGTGAGTCATAAGCAATCACCAAAGGTTTGTGTATATGTACATGTGTCTGCAGTTGCATAACCCGAGATTCTATCTTTAATAATAAATCTGTGGATCAAGTGTATGAAAAGGCAAGAATAGTGAGGAGATACTTATTGTGTGATTATTCGGGAACCATCAGTGACCCAGTTATGAACATGTAAGAGGCAAATAGACCAATACAATTTCTGTGTAATGTTTGAGTCAGCTAGATAATTGAAGCCGAGTCACTAAGAGGATTTTTACTTAGGCTTCTTGCTTCATTTGGTTTCTGGGGCAAACAAAACTTTTGTCATGTTAGAACTGCAAATCCTGCTTTTGTACCTGCCTTAATGCTATTAGAGGTTATTGACAAAGCAAAAGAGATATAAAAGTTGCATTTTAAAAATGCTGTGAAATGCTCAGTGGTTCAGTTGTAATTGTTTTGATGTGGAACTCTTTAACAGTGATCTTTGAGATCCAGATTAAATACCAGTCAGATTGTTGTTGTTTTTTAATCAAATGTTTTCTATCTTTTCCTTCAGAAAAAACCCAAAGAGACCAGCATTTTCCACTCCAGGTTACACCTTTGAAGATTGGAACACAACCAGTAGAAGTACAATATTATGCCCTGGACACACCCAAACCAGCTCCTCGGAGCAAAGTTAGTTCCATGACTAGTTCAATAGAGATTCCAAAGGTACCATCTCCAAATCAAATTAGAAGCAGCTCACCTTCTCTTCAACAATCTGCTGTCCACTTCCCCAGGTGAGTTCTGGATTATAATTGGATTTCCCTGATTTGATGTTTTAACCTGTGCTTGATCTTTTTATAATTAAAGTGATTTATTTATTTATTTACTTATTGAGTTTATATAGTCACCCATTCATTTGCATGAGACTTAGGAAGCTTAACTAATCATTGTGAATGTGCAAAATAGTCAACAAAAAAGCTTATAAAAAACGTTGATATTCACAGACCCAGCTCATTTGATAGGCAACTGCAGACATAAATTCCACATTCAGGAATGCAATATGACTCCTTGTGTATACAGACTGAGAATACTGCATTTCTCTTCTCTGCTAGAAATAACAAAAGTTTAAAATTTCCTTTTAAAAATGAAGTAAGTTTCTGGATGGAGATTGGAAAAGAGGAGAATTTATAACATAGCTTTTTAACAGCCTCTAGTTAAAATAGAATTTACAGAATCCTGGAGAAATTCTCACTAAATAAAGCAAATGAATTTTTGCTATAAAAATTAGTATTTTGGAAAAAATATAAATTTGCTTTAACTTTTTTCCTTTTTTCTGTCTGTTACCTACTCAAATTGAAACTCTGTATTTCTCTGTGCAAGTTAGTGAATTCTGTGTAATTCCAATCTTTAGCACTTCTTCATGTAGAGTATCACAGTATTAGTTGTTTTTGTGATCTGTAAAAGAAAAAAACCCTACAGCATCTCTCCAAAGATGTTACCAGAAAACATTCTAATTTTCTTCTATTTTGTACCTTCCTGTGGTCTGTCTGAAGCACTGTGCTTCCCTTTTCAGAATAGCTTTTGCAATTTGTCCTCTTTTTCATCAACTATTTTAAAATAATTTTTGTTATCCATGATTGGATTGGTCTATCTCCCAAGAAAGGGAAGAGGGTGAATCATCTAATCAAATGCCTCGATGCTAGGTGATCACAAAGTTGCATTTTTACCATGTAATTGCCAGAAACAGCACAGGTTATAATGGCCTTTTCTTTCACACACTTAGAAGAATGCCAGAAATGGCATCCCTTGGAAGATAAATGATTTTAACAAGCATTACCAAGCCACTTCTTCCCAGTCGGAGATGGGGCTTCTGGAAATGGTGGCTTGAGGCAACCTGCTTTCTCCCGTACAAGCTCAGTCAGTCTGCTACACTGATTTTTTTCTGAGGTATACTGGGTGTTTGTTTGTAAACTGTTTGAGTTTACCTTTGAAAGAAAGATGAGACACATTTTTACAAATAGGTCATTGATTTGCATTCCCTAGCTAGGCTACTCTGAAAGTACTTCAGATTCTATTAGAGAAGTTGTAAACTTTCAGCATTTTTAGAATCTCACAAAGCAAGCTCTCTATAATAAGTGTTTATTGATTTTATTCAGTTTGGACACTTCCTGACTCCAGATTGATTCTGGGCAGCTCAAAACATAATGAAACAAGATACAATGCAACACAATAAAATAAAATACAATAAGATACAGTATAAAAGGGTTCATAATATTCTTTTCCCATTTTTCCCTTCTATTGTGTTTCTCTCCTTCAGTACTTCACCTTTCAGCTCTGAGACTGAAGAGTCTGAGGAACAAACAAACATGAGCTCTCCAAAATACACATCCCTCAAGGCAGAACCAAAACAGAGCAAACCTGTTCCCAGAGCAGCACAGGTGGAAGAGAGTGAGTGGGATTCATCTGACACAGACTTTTCTAAAGAGAAAATTGATACAGGAAAGAGTTCCCCAGTTGTAGCAGGAACTCATTCAGGTGACTATCATTTAATTGGGTTTATTATTGTCATAATGTACACAAATGTCAGTGTCAAAGAAGTAAAAAAAATACAATCAAATACTAAGATATGTATCAACTACTTCAGCAATCAAATGATTACTATGAGCTGGAACAACATTTATCTTGTTATATATATATATATTTGATGGGCTTAAATGACAGACAATTGAAATTTGGTAGTTGCTATGTCAATACCAATGTTTATAGCTGAATTAAATACTACTATGGAGATTTGCCAGGGTGTGTTGCTATGCTACAAGCTATAAAACATACATGATTGTTTTTATAAAATTCAGTAAGAAAACATGAATTAATAGTTGTTTAGGCTAAATAACCTTTCAAATATAATAACCATTTCCTATGGGGCCTAGCAATATGCTGAAAGGCTAGTACAATCACAGGTGACCATAACCCTGAGCCTAACAGATTTCTTCTTCACTTAGAAACACTAGTGCAGTCAATGGCTAAAAATTTGGAGAAGAAACTGAACATACCTGGAAAGAAGCCTCCAGGTGGCGTGAAGCTCTTTGCCGTCCAAAGCAAAGAAGATGCTAAAACCAATCATCCCACAAAAAAGCTTCAGGTATTGGTGTTAATTTAAGAAGGTAGTTGGTAGTAGCCTCTTAATTTTGCTTCTTAACAGTACAGATCTTGTTCATAACTGATTCACTAGTAGCATGATCTGCAGGTTTCTAAGAAAGTTACGTTTTATTCTGTAGGCCATAGTAATAAATGGGTTTAAGATTATTTACAAAAAGTAAAAGGTCAAGATAGCGAGTACTTCAGAAGTAGTCAATATGTTGCCAACAAAAGGATTGTTCATTGTATTAATCCAGAATGTGGTTAGGTTGCCTAAAGATTATGAGATCTACCACATCTCAACTGCCAAAAAAAAAAAAAAAAAAAAAAAATATCAGATGGCTAACACACAGCAGAAAAGAGATACAGAAGATATTTGGATACCATGTAGCAGTTATCTAGATTGCTGTAGCTTGGATCTGGTAATCCTACTTTATAAACTCTCAGGTATTAAAGCTTTGAGTGAAATATTGAGCTTAATGTGTTTGATATATCTGAATTTAATAGGTTTCTAGAACCCATATTTGTTTTCTGTGACATTAATTATAATTTATAAACACACATACATTGAATAGCAACATTTAGTGCCCTCCATAACACTGGAAATACAACTTCCCAGGACCAAAGGCTCCTTAGATTGCCAGCACAGATAGAGAGCATCAGAAAGAGAAGGACTGCTGCAAATAATTTGTGAATATGCAAGGCAAGGTAGACACGGACAAGATTTATTTATGTGGTTGTTAAGAGTTAAGACTTACTGGCATATAATCAGAAGTAGATACTTTTAATAGCTAGAGACAAAATTAGTTTTAATTTTTACCTGAAGGGCCAGTAACAAAAATGAGGCAGGGAAATGATATGAAATGCTGGGCCACAGCAGCCATTAAAGCTGAACAGTGATTTTCATCCATGAGCTGAGGAAAGGACTTTGTTTTTTACATTGTGCTAGGCCTGTAGGCTTACAATTCAGTTTCATTTATTTCTAACCTCAACATCATGGGAAGCCTGGTAAATTTTGAAGTGCTTCAAGGGACAACAAGAAAGGGACTTGGAGCTAAAGGTTGTCCACCTCTGTATGATGGCCTACCTAAATTGGGTGAATTTTGTATGAATTCATTGATAAGTCATTCTTATTTAGACACTCACGTGCAATGTCTAACAGCATAAAAATTGTTTAGAAAAGGTTTTTAGAAATATATATATATATATATATATATATATATATATATATATATATACACATACATATTTTAACAAGTTTTTACAAACTCATCTTAGTTAAAATGTTCTGTTTAAGTGGATATGTTTCTAAATCTATATTTTATAAAAATTCAGTGAAACATAAAATCTGAAGGGTAACTGCGAATCAAATGTTTTTTATTCACAAGTATCAAATTATTCATGCATTTCTTGGTGCATCCAATGTTTGCAAGTTTCCATCACTTGCTCTCACTTCGTCTTTCTTTTCTTCCTGATGTAGTTTGCCTATGAGGAGGATAGTGACTTGGAGATTTCTTCCTTGGAGGAAATCAGCCAGCACCTGGAACCTGAAACTAAGATAAAGAAGCCCCAAGGGCCAAAAGTTAGTGGGAGCTCCACTGCATTGCGGGGCACCAGTATCTGGACTTCCAGCAGCACAAAAACTGGGGTCTGGTGATTCCATGGTTAGATGAGTATAGAACCTAGCAGAGATGGAAGAGCATCCCATGACAGAGAAATCAGATTAAATTTGATAATCAAAAGAATAAACAAAAACACAGCACCAAAAACCGAAAGTATCACATTCAAGGTTCTAGGTATAAAGTTTCAAAGGAAACATTTAATTAACACAAGGTTTTCTAGTGCGCCTCAGGAGAAGGAAAAGACTACTTTATTCTTTTGCTGAAAGTCAATCTTTTTTTTATTAAAAGTTTTAAAAATTTCTTACAGTATATAACCCAAATCCCTCCCCCCTCCCCCACTTCCCAGAGCTGATTACAGGGTTACAAATAAGCCATCATAATCTAACTAACATTACCCAACTCTACTAACAATCAAATCCATAGCATATTTTAACTCCTTTTCAAAATAAATATTAACAAATTAAAAACCAAAAATAATATAATTAAACAATAATACTAAAAATAGCTGAAAGTCAATCTTGACATGACATTATAAATTAATTTTTATCCAGAAGACACAAGCGTGATTCTCATATCATGCACAACCACAATGTTGTGCACTTGGATCTGACTTAGTGCAGTATACAGTATGTGAACCCAGCCTTCATGTACCATTGAATTTGATTTAGCATTATATTACTAAAACAAAACACATATTAGTACAGTATATAAATGCGGCAATAGATATAAGGCTGAATCAAACAGCAACCATGGCATTCTAGCCTCATTTGTGGGCTATAAAGAAGTTTACAGTACACCTTTCACTGTTGCTTTAAGGATAAGTGAATTTCAGCAACTACAAGAGAGAAAGATGTATAATTCTTGTGGTCTACTTAACAGAAAAAAGGGCTTTTGATGCATTGTGCTGTGATACATAACCTACTATTAGAAAAATGTTTCTGAATTGTTTGTGCAATTAGGCAATTTTTCCTTTCTAATACTGTGATGGATGCAACTTTCTTCTATTTTTCATAAGTTTGTTTATAGCCATAAAAGTAAATAAAATGGAGAGGCTTCAAACATTTTGTATCCCATCAGCCTTCAGTTTCATTCTTAGCTTGATTGCACTTCAGCATAGTGCAGAGTACTTATTTAATTCTGAAATACATTTAGCATTTTCAAAGTATGTTTCTATTATATTTAAATAGAATCACATTGAAAATGCTAAAAGTATTTCAAAATTAAATAAGTATATCTTCAGAAAATGAAAACTCAAAATATACCACCACCACCCTCAATTTTATTTGATGTAAGATGCGACAGAGAGAAAATCTGAGTGGCTTTCAAGATTCTGTTATTCTACCCTACAACAATACTGAGCATTCCTGGAGTCCATATTGCTCCTGTTTCATAACTTTCCTATCTTGAAGGGTTGACAATATCATGAACTATGATTCATGGACCACAACTTAAAATGTTGAAAATTAATGATAGCCACTTAAGGATAATAATTAAGCAGTTGGAGTAGGACTGGAGAGATCTAGATTCAGGTCCATCCTCAGTCATGAGAACTCATGGTGACTTTAGGCATGGTACCAGGAAAGGTTACTTGCAGGATCACAACTTTCCAAGGATTGTCCATCCCACCACATCTGACAGGATGAGCACAATCCAGATCACCCTGGGTCTAGAAGATGTGCCTTCTCTACTCTAGAATCTCCCATTGGAACAACTACTCCTGATTCAGAAAGCCTTCACTGTAAAGACCTAGCTCTTCTACCAGGAACTGGCTGAGATGTTGGTTGCACCCAATATACTGTAGATGCAGTTATTTTGGCAATTTTATTATGATACCTTGGTTGATATATAATGGTTGTTTACAGATTTTTTTTTTTAAAAAAAGTATTTTCTGGGATTTGTTGTGTGGTATACAAGATTATCCATTTAAAATAAACAGCCACATAAATTTTAAAAATTAAAATTTATATGTTTTATAAACATACAGAAATGCTGTATGCTTTTTCAAGCAAAAGAAAGGATGAATCACCTTTCTTAAGTATTGTTCTCCTAAACTATTTCTATTAGGAATTGACTTACAGTTACATTGGCTTCCAATGATGCATCAGTCCTCCGTGATGTGAAATGAATGAGGATGAGAGCTGGAATACCTGTACAGAAGCTTCTTATTATCCCAGGGAAGATACTTGGAGGTTTATGTCATCTTGTCTGATTATGATCATTCCTGGGTAATTGTTGCAATGTAATTGATTATTCCCTGCCTTCTCCTTCATCCCAAAAATATTCCTGCTAATCTCACCGTTCAGCAAGCAAACAAATGTTCGGACCTTTTGCTATCTTCATTCATGGAGAGTTAGGGAATGAGATATCTTTTGGCTTGAATAAGTCAAGCTGATATGAACATATAAGTTTTTCAGGAATCCCCACTTGTGCAGGTATTTTTCTGGGTCCTGGGTCCTATTCTTAAAATGTGGACCCTTCAAGAATCTTGCTCAGGCTGGCCCATAAATTACAAATTAATTAGAGAAGCTCTAGACTAGAAAATATATATGAAACTGAAAAAATGCTGGGAATTGCCACTTGATGGCACCATATCTGAAGAAACATGCAATGTTATCTTTTTTTAGACTTTGCAAATGAAATTTGCAATAAGAAAAAGATTTTCCCCCTAAAGCAAAGCATGTAGAACACCCAAAGGAGTAATAGTAAATAATAAGCCATCCTATACATGTGTCTAAATTGAAATGAAAGTTTTGCTTGATTCTATTTTCTCCCATCCTTAATATGCTTTTTCTTACTGAGGTCAATTTTAGACATTTGCTCAAAACAACATGTCCCAAGAATACCCGAGGACTTGCAAATTTTAAGCATAACTAGATTTCTCAAAATTGTTGAACTGAAAAAAAAATGGGGAAAAAAATCCAATTGCACCTAGAAATCTTTGGAAAATGTTCAGAGGCTATACTTGAAGTAATGCAAATAAATATAAAATAATTGTTGTTTTTTCTTTACATACTATAATGTAAATCAAAATGTTTCATACTATGACATGAAATATTGAATGTCTTATGCATATGACAATTTATCTTTATTTGGGGGGGGAGAGAAAATGAGATCATAACCATATCCTAATAGATTCTAATATTTTTCAGTCACAGAGCTAATGTCTATAAGTGAATATTATTAAACAATATTTATAAATTCTTGAGACTGTAAAGTACTAGACAGTGTTTCTGAGAAAAGGAAGATAAATATCATCTACCTTTTTACTATGTTTGCTTTTTTTCCTAATGTAAAATTAGGTACAGAAATATGTAATTTTTGGAATATTTCTAATGAAGAAAGGCAGGGTAAAAAATTACAAATTATTTGCATATCTGGTAGATTCCTGGTTTCATCCTATACAAAATAAATTTCACAGTGAGGTAATGTTTGGATTAAAATATTAATACAAAATGTATACAAAATGCTGCATAAACTGTTCTAACTTATCTTTGTATACCCATGCAACTGCAGTGACATCATATTTATATGAAAGATTAAAGCTATACTGTATTTGTATCATCAATAGTTTCTTATGCATATTTGTTATGCCATAAGTAAAATGAGGGAGTGGAATACAAAGTAAAAGGGCTCCTAGTCCTGTAAAATACCTGGAGATCTTTGGGAGGGGAGAGTTTTTATTTGTTCTTTGTCTCTTGCTTCTTTGTCTAAGTAAGACCTGGGTGTGTCCTATGTTCTGAAGGTCAGCTGATTTTTATTTTTCTCATACACTATGATTGTAAAGATTCTGGAAAAGATAATCAAACAACGAATCAGCAAACACCTAGAGGCAAACAAAGTCATTACCAAAATCCAACATAGGTTTGTCAAAATAGATCATGCCAGACAAATCTTATTGCATTCTTTGACCAAGTGACAAAATTAGTGGACCACAGGAATGCTGTGGATATAATTTGCTTGGACTTCAATAAGGCATTTAATAAAGTAGATCACAACCTACTATGATAGAAAAATGTGGGTTAGACAGCACCACCACCAGGTGGATTCGTAGCTGGCTGACCGGCCATACTCAGCGTGTGGTCCTCAATGGAACTGCATCTACATGGAGGGAAGTGTGTAATGGGGTACCCCAGGGTTCTGTTCTGGGCCCAGTGCTCTTCAACATCTTCATCAATGATCTGGATGAAGGGATAGATGGGGAAATCATCAAATTTGCAGACAACACCAAGCTGGCAGGAATAGCCAACACTCCAGAAAACACACTGGGAGACTTGAATGCTGGGTGTTATCTAACAAAATGAAATTCAATAGTGAAAAAAGTAAGGTTCTACATTTAGGAAAGAAAAACCAAATGCACGGGTATAGTATAGGTGGTTCCTTGCTCAATAGTAGTAACTGTGAAAGGGATCTCTGTGTCCTACTGGACAATCACTTAAATATGAGCCAGCAGTGTGGGGCAGCTGCCAAAAAAAGCCAACACAGTGCTAGACTGCATTAACAAAAGGACAGAATAAAGATCATGTGAAGTGTTAATACCACTTTACAATGCCTTGGTAAGGCCACACTTGGAGTACTGCATCCAGTTTTGGTCACCACAATGTAAAAAAGATGTTGAGACTCTAGAAAGAGTACAGAGAAGAGCAACAAAGATGATTAGGGGGCTGGAGGCTAAAACATAAGGAACGGTTGCTTGAATTGGGTATGTCTAGTTTAATGAAGAGAAGGATGAGGGGTGATCTGATAGCAGTGTTTCGATATGCCAGAAAGAAGAGGGAGTCAAGCTATTCTCCAAAGCACCTGAAGGCAAGACAAGCAACGAATGGAAACTGACCAACCTAGAACTAAGGAGAAACTTCCTGAAAGTTAGAACAATTAACCAGTAGAACAACTTGCCTCCAGAAGCAGGAATTATCCAGAACCAAAGACAAAAAATGGAAGGATGAAAGAAATAATGTAATCTACAAAATCAACTGTAACTATTGCAACCAATTCTATGTGGAACAAACATCATGTCAATTAAAAAAACAGTATCCATGATCAAATGCCATGATCCCAAATCCTTAATCTCTACCCACGCTGGCACCAAACAGCACCAGTTTGATTGGAGCAACACAAAAATTATTGGCCACACTACTACCTACCATGCTTGTGAGTTCATCGAAGCCTGATGCTCCATAAGCAATTCCATCAATAGACACATCGACCTATAACCAGCCTATGAATCCCTCAGAATCCAAATCAACTGCACAGCCAACCAGAAAACAACCCTCAACCAACCCGCGCAAGCCCTCCCTCCTACCAGCAGTTCATCTCCCAATGATCTTGACCTGATGTAACCTCCCCATCATAAGATCCATCACAAGACTCACTGATGACTCACACCTGATCCATCACAAGACCCCATCACAGACCCTCACTTGACACACCCATACCTGATGCCCTTAAAAACAGAGGAACACTGACATCCCCTAAACTCTGATGATGATGTTACCTAGCCTGGTAATGAAACATTCAGAAACCAACCCACAAGCTCGGAGAATGAACTTTCACCCTCATCAAGGTAACTCTATTTAAATTTGTTTTTTTGTCTCAGCCCTGTTTGTTTTTTTGCATGCCATTAAAGCATAACCTCTCTTTTTTTTAAACTATTAGAAAAAGCCTTATAAGTTTATAAGATTATTCCACACTAGCTTTATTAACTTCACAAACAGGTGAACAGTTGTTATTGATGATGAATAATGTCCCCACTTTGGAAGCATGAATGAGGCTGTGATTCAAGAATTATGAATCTCTCAAATTCAAATTGGCTAAATTAAATTTAAATAATAACAATACAATAATAATAATGTGAACACTCTTTCATGTATAGATTTCCCAGGGAATGAGGCACTACATTAATTAAATGCCACAAAGGGTCGCAATATTCATTCCTTCAGATCAAAACAAATAAGTATGACACCTCTGAACACTAATTTCTAAACCAGAAAACAATACATAACAGATGTTAAAGAGATTGGGCTACACTACAGTTGATTAGAGCAAAAAGCCAGATGTTATCACTGGCTATCTCTCTTGCAACTAATAAACAAAATATGTTTTGATTAAGAAGCAACTCAATATGCATCAATTGTTCTGAGTTTCATAGTTAGATGCAACATAATGATGAACGCATAGAAATAACTCAGATACATTCATTGCTACTTAAGGATTATCCAGAACACTGAATCAGCATTGGTCAAATCTGGAGTGACTTGTTTCAACTCTCAATTTCAATTTTCCTTAGTATGAAATATATAGGCAACCTGGAAGCTCAAATTCTGTAGCCTCCAGACTAGTAGTGGGATTCAAATAATTTATCAACAGGTTTTCTGCAGGGGGGAGGCAGGGGGTCACTGCCATGAGGCAGTTGGAGGGGGGAGCTGCCCCATGCACCTTGTAACTGCTTACCATGCCAAAGGGCCCCCGCAGCCAGGCCTACCATGCCCATCGTGCCTCTCCTGTTCAGTAGTGACTTCTCCCACTTTCTACTTCTTCCTCTTCCTTTGAACAACCCTTCAATCCCGTTGCTGCTTTTTTAGTCCTGGAGTTTTGTCCGGAGCCTGTGCAGAGGGTCTTTGGAAATGAAGCCCCACAGCGATCGGGTGGGATGGGAACAATTCCCTTTACTTTTGGAAGGAGCAGCTCAAGGACTTCAATCTGGCTTTGCAGCAAGCAAGGGGATTGGAGGCATGTGAATGCATGTTAGTTTGGCATCTCAAAAAAACGGGTTTTTTTTCCCCGTGCTGGATTTTTTTTTTAATTAAAAAGTTTTTATTTTCCATTTATTCATACAAAATACAATTCAATTAAAATAAATTCCTAACCATTGGTACCGCCTGCCCATTCCCCCCAGGTTGCGTCCACCCTCTCTAATCCTTCCCTACTTCCCTCCTCTTTGTCTCCTCCCCTCCTACTCTCTTCCCCTCCCCTTCTCCTCTAACCATCCTACTTCCTCCCTACTCCTTCCTCCCCACTCATCCCTCTCACACACATGAACGCAGCATAGGGGAAATGCCCAAGCATTTACCATGACTATATTATCATTACCCACCCACTCACCCACCCCCTCCCTCAACCCTCCCCCCCTCGCTTCCCAGAGCAGAGTACAGGGTTATTAATAAGAAAGTTAACTATAATAAAAAAAAGAAAAGAAGAAAGAAAAAAGAAAAAAGCGAAAAAAAACATCATACTTAACCTTTAACTCCCCTTAAATTAAGTCATGTAAACAAATCTCTACAACAGTTACTATAAAATTTACTCATAAAATAAATGAAACTTTATAGTCCCATATTTTTTCTGAATATAATCTATCCATCTTCTCCATATAATAATATATCTTTCTTGTGTATGATCGTTCAAATAAGTAGAAATTTTTGCCATTTCTGCAAAGTTAGAAACTTTAAATATCCATTCTTCTAAAGTAGGCAATGAGTCCTTCTTCCAATACGAGCCTACTAATAACCTTGCTGCAGTTAATAAATTCAACATTAAAGTAGTTTCTTTGTCATTTAAATCCACAAAGATACCCAATAGGAATAATTGAGGGGTGAACTTTATCTTCCTTTTAAAAATCTTTTGAATGTTCCACCAAATTATAATCCAAAAAGCCTTTACCTTTTTACAATTCCACCAAACATGAAAATATGTCGCATCCGTATTACCACATCTCCAACATTTGGGTTGTAAATTTGGATACATACAAGATAATTTTTTAGGATGTAAATGCCATCTGTAAAACATTTTATAAAAATTTTCCCTCAAATTTTGAGCTTGTGTAAATTTAACATTTCTAATCCAAATTGTCTCCCATAAGTCCAATGGGATAGGATCCTGGATATTCTGAGCCCATTTAATCATACATTCTTTAACCAATTCTGTTTCAGAGTCTAATTCTATTAAAGCATTGTAAATTCTTTTTATATGGGCCTGACTCTGATCTTTAATCTGAATAACCAGATTTCCATCTTCTAGTGTTATTCCTTCTTTCTTATCTACAGTCCACCTGTCCACTATTTGTAAATATTGAAACCATGACTGTAGAATATTTTCTTGCCTTAATACATCTAGAGATTTTAAATGCCAATCCGAACCTGACCAAGTTAATAATTCTTTATATGAAATTTTATCAAAGTTCATCCCCTTAGAAATCCCCTCAATTGCATGTCTAGGAATCCCCCAGATAGGTATTTTATAGTTTAACCTATAATAATACTTTTTCCAAACTCGAAGTAAGGCACTCCTCAAAATATGTGATTTGAAAGCCCAGTCCACTTTCTTATTAAAAATTAAATATGCATGCCAACCATACCCGTGCTGGATTTTCACTGCCATACTATTTAACTTCCTTTAAAGTTTACTTGATGCAGAACGAGCATTTAGCCATTCATTCAGTTAAAGTGTATGCTATTGAATCCATACAGAAATATTTTCTAAGGCAGGCTTTAAGTATGTAACGGCAATTCTGGCAACTCCAAGATTTTTCACCCACTTGTACTGCCTGCCTTTTCAAATTAAGAATAACAAGCCAA